TAGTTGCAAAACTGCACTCTGTGTGCATTTGTTGTTTGTTTCCCTTTGAATCTACCTTCTTACTCTCCTCACTGAATTCACACACACACATTCCTGCCTGGGCTCTCACACACTTCTGTTTCCTCACGCTCTTTATGCCATATCAAACTGGCCAAACTTTTTGCCCTGCCAAGACCAAGAACTTCTCAGAAGACAGGCACAGCCTCACCTATGACAGAAGTCATCAATTAATTCAGTGAAATGGGAACAGGTACTTAAACTGCTTTTGTTAAAAAGCACTGACCCCTTCTGTGGGCCCCTGCATGAACTGAAAATAGGTTAGAGCTTGGCATCCCAGCCTCCATTTTGTATCTGTGTGCTTAGGTCTGAGCATCACCTTGCAGCCACCTTGCACTGATAACTTTGCAAGGAGGGACAGAAAACTGTCCTCAAGGAAAGGGACAGCAGAGCCTCCTCAGGACAGACCACCCACCAGGTAACAATGACATGCTCATCCTGACCAGACTGCTCCCCTCAAGTGATGACAGCCATAACAACTTCTCTGGAACCCTTCCCTAACAAGGATGGACTGTTCAGTCCCTGCTCAAATTCTTTCTCTATTTAACATTAAAGCTCCAAACAACATAAACACATGTAAGGAAATGTAAAAATGATAAAAGAAAATAAAGCTCATGTGTGCATCCCAAAGATGGCTGAAATGCTGTGTTGCCTCTCCCATAGCCGCCATCCCCCATCATGAGCCTCCTTTTTTTCTACCATTACATGTCTCATTTGTCATGTGGGGGTGAGTTGCTAGGCCTCAGTGTGGAACCCCTGGCGTTAAGGCCTGGGGTTTAAAACCCTGGTTTCAAAACGTGCACTCATGGATTTTGAGAGAGTAATGTGAGAACTTGAGCCAGAAGCCATGAACTTGCCGTGAGTTGTAAATGTTAGTTGAAAAGATCCTAAAGATTTGGCAATAGAGGCTGGGCACAGTGGGTCTTGCCCATAATCCCAGTTACTTGGGAGGCAGAGATTGGGAGGATTGCAGTTTGAGGCCAGCTTTGGCAAGTAGTTCTTGAGATCCCACCCCAACAGAGAAGCTGGGCATGGTGTCATGTGTCTGTATCCGAGCTGTGTGAGAGGCCTGAAGCAGAGGGGCTGTGGTCTAGGCCTGCCAGAACATAAAGCATGAGAGTCTATCTGAAAAACAACCAAAGCTAAAGGGCTAGGTGTGCCTCAAGTGGTAGAGTGAGGCCCTGAGTTCAAACCCCTGTAGTGCCAAAACATGATCCTTTTCCAGAAATAAGCAGTGTGTTTGTGTGTGCACGAGTTAAATTTACCTTGATTCACCACCACCTTCTCTAACATTTAAAATAAGATTATTTCTGGAAGAGTTAATTGCAAGTTGACACTTTAGGATCAAAGTAGAACATTGCAGTCACTTTAGGAGGAAAAAATTATTTATATATATATAAATTATATATATATATATATATATGGTGTGCCTCAAGTGGTAGAGGCCCTCAGTTCAAACCCCAGTAGTGCCAAAGAATATATATATATTCATATATATATATATATACATATTCATATATACATATTCATATATACATATATATATGAATTAAAATTTTTAATATATACATTTATATACAAAATTATAGTACTGGGGTTTGAACTCAGGGCCTTGTGCTTGCTAGGCCATGAACCCAGCCAGAAGTTGTATTTTGTTACTGCAAAATAATAAATTCTTAATCAACCAGAAATTATGGCTAAGAAAATATTTTTTAAAAATAGATTTGGGATCTGCCTGGAAGCGAGGGGGTGGGGGGGGAGCAGGGGGGAGAGATGGCCCAAACAATGTATGCACATATGAATAAATGAATAAAAAATAGATTTGGGGCTTTTTAAAATACAAAATTCTTCATCAGTAAGCTCTCTATATTGTATATATACCTAAAATATCTTCAAAAAAATGAAAAAAAAGGGAAAAAAGATTTCATAATAGCAGATTCATGAGCTGAAGATGGGAATTAGTGCATTTAGAAATGTCTGAGAGCCAGTGAATAAGGCAGGGATCCTAAGAGAAGAACACTCACAAAAAAGGAACTGTTGTCTTAGGTGGGTGGTGCCAGGAAAGATGGTGGGAGGGCAGGGAAAGATGGCAGAGGGAGAGGAGGAGAAAGAGCTGATTTATGGCAGAACTACAATTTGAAATACTCAAAGAAAGCACCACAATAGTTGGTATGTATTACTTCTTTATATTCCATTTTGTTCCAAAAACAAGGTGCTCATTCTAAGCTCACCAAGTACAAGTGCTCCCTGTGGCTGCTACATGGGGTGGGGACTTCCCGTCTGGGTAAACACCAGTCTGAGATAGGGCATTCAGAGGCAGAGGGGTGGTGCCGTCTGCCAAATACTGAGGGCTAACATGGCCTCTAGCAGACAATGTCTCTTGAAGTCGCAAAGGGTAGCCACCAGTGCAGAAGGAAAACCTTTTATAGCCACTTGTGAGAGAGTGACTGGAAAGCTGGTAAGTTCTGGCTCCTTTCTGCATCTAGAGAAAAGGGTGTTCATTGTTATAAATAGTGATATTTGGTGCTGGTAAAGTCCTAACTGGTGGCACCCTTGCCTAGCATGTGCAAGGCCCAGGGTTCAATCCCCACCCCACCCCCAGTCCCCCAAAAGGTGGTATTTATACAAATCCATGGAGAAATTGCTACCTCCTGAGCTGGACATGTAAAATGAAATTTCAAAGGAAGCGAGCATGTCCAGCCTATGGCACCCTCCTGATAAAGACTCTTTGCTCACACATTGTACGGGAGTGAAGGGAAGGCGCTGTGTGAATTCTCAGGTGCAACTGTACTTAACTGACCTTAAAAGACAAAGTGGAACGCTGGGTTCAGTTACCATAGGCAAGATGATGTACTTAAGGCTTTCATTAACTAAATAGGCCAACCAGGTAAGCACTGAAATCTGAGAATTGAAGTGCACGTTCTTTTGCTGCTATCAGAAGTAGCTACATTAACTCTTACTACTGGGATGTCACCACTGTTCCAAAGGAGAGGAGTTTGCTCTATGCCATGTCTGTGCCTTCGTGTTGAGAAAGTTCCAACTTTTACTCATCTGAAGAACTAGAATTATTTTCAGTTTTTTTCTTAAAAAAGAATCTTACAGAATATTTAAAACACATTAAAAACTGTAAAATCAAGAAAGGGGTGGGAGGGGGACAAGGATGAGTAACTGGGTGATTATGATCAAAACACATGACATGCACGTCTGGAAATGTCACAATGAACCCAATTGCACAAATTTAAAATCATAAAAATGGAATCTGAATGCTTTCTGTTCTATTACGTGCTAGAAAATACAACCAAACCTCCTGTCTTTTAACTCATTAAGGTGATAACAGCCATGCATATTACTAATAAGGTGGTGTTATTTCTCCTGTATTTGGTTAATATATGAATGCATAGTCAATTAATGCCTAAACCACTGTGGTGCTTCTTTCTGTTTCAGATATTTTATTTTTTTTACCACATGCCCTTTTTCTTTCACCCTTCTCCTTCATTCCTTGTTTTTCTGCCTTCCTCTACCTCCATCATTGCTATTATTCTCTGATTTCTTCCAATACCTAGTTATATTCTTTTTGGTGTTTTGAGACAGGGTTTTGCTATGTGGCCCAGGCTGGCCTGGAACTCATGATCCTCTTGCTCAGCCTCCCAAGTGCTGGGATTACAGGGATTACACCATGCCTGGCAAAGACTTGAGTTTATATAGTTCAGTTTCCTTAAGTGTAAATGATCTAAATCAATCAATCAATCAATCAATCTCAAGCCCTTGCCCAGAGTCATATAGGTGAAAGATCAAAACTAAGCAATTCAATTCCAGGATTCAAATGTATACATCGAAGAGCAATGCTGCCAGGCATACCTATAATCCTAGGTACTTGGGAGACAGAGATTGGGAGTATCTCGGATCTAGGCAAGCCCAGGCAGATAGTTCTCAAGAGCCCCATCTCCAAGATAACCAGAGCAAAATGGACTTGGAGGTGTGGCTCAAGCAGTGGAGTGCCTGCTTTGTAAGCATGAAGCCCTGAGTTCAAATCCCAGTCCCACCAAAAAAAAAATAGTCAAGGAGAGAGGAAGGAAGGAAGTGTTGTGTCTGGAGACCTAAGGCAGATGAGTGAGTATCCCATCCCCCATGAGATACTGCATCCTGAGAAGATGGAGAAGATGGAGGCCTGCATTCCTGCATCCTAAAGGAGAGATACAGATCTGCCACAGGACTGATGAGCAAAATGCTCTCAAGATTGTTTCCCCTCCTCCAATAAAGGTGCAAACCAAACCAGTTCACCTGAGAAAGCCCGTAAATCCACGGCCAATGAGAAAAACCCATCTAACCCAGTTAAAATCTCCATAAAAACCCCAGCCTTCCGGGCTCCACTGCAGTACTTAGCTGTAGCCTTTTCTTTCTCTCTAACAAATACCACTTTATACACCGGCTTTGGCTCCTCATTCAGCTGCCTCACGAGCCAGTTCCCTGGCCTGTGAAGGCAAGGACTCTCAACACCAGCCCCCAACACTTCCAACAGCACATAACAGAAGGAAGGAAGGGGAATGTTAACAGGGTTCTGAGAGGTTCTGGGTGGCTCAGAGCTACGTCCTCAAGAGCCCTGCACACCCCATTAACAACCTCAATGTTGATATTTGTAGTGAATCTTTACAAAATCATATACCTCTCCAGTCAGCAACTTGTCACTGAGTCTCAAGAAACCCTGTAATGGGCTGGAGGTGGCCCAAGCAGTAGAGCATCTGCCTAGCAGGCGAGAAGCCACAATAATTCCAGTGAAATACAAACACAATTTGGCTGGTGCTAACATCACCGGTACTAATTTCTTTGAATCAACAGAAAGCCACCTAAAAGAAACATGCCATCAGGCAGTTTCTACCCAGCAAGAGACCTCTCCTAGGCTTAAGTAATGAAAAGCATGTGCCGTTCAAGAATACAGGCAAGGCTTTATGTTATATTTGTTTATTTTCCAGCTTGTACAAACTGGATGTAGAAGCATAAACATAGTACATATCTACCATCTTCAACAAAAATATAACCAATATGTACAATTATTGTATTAAAAATACAAAAGGGATACAGACTCCACCAATGTCTTTCTAAAAGACATACAGGTACAAGTAGTATCAAAAGTATGAGGAGATCACCAGTTAATTGTACATTCTGCACTTGACATCACAGAGCGAACTGAGATTAGCAGTCTATGTTCTACAATTACTTAATGTTTAGATAACATTTGTGCAACTTGTGGTAGAGCTAGAGTTCTGTCTTTTTATATGCATGTGAGGTCCATAGCCTATATAATAAAACTGGCAAATAATGCATATTACATGTAAAATTACAAATGCATAACTGACAATGTAATATATAAGCAGTAGACAAATGCCATGATCCAGAAGAGAATTATTAAATAAAGCACTGACATTGTTTGATACAGTGAAAAAACACTGCAATTCGACTTTTAAAATTGGAAGCTATTTACGTTTATCTACTGATCAATATGATCAGCTGAATTCAATGGAAAAATCCAAGACCAGCAGTTCCTCACATTTGAGTACTACTCGGATTGGCAGCCTTCACGTTTCCGGAGTCTGTGCAAAACAACACAAAAATAGAGTGGAGGGGTCATTTTCAGTCATTCTAGGGTTTATAGCAGCTGTGAGCAGACGGTTGCTACACTCAGGCCTTCGCTCTACGCAGCGTCCATAAAGCCACTTATGGTGAGCCTTTGTAACTCACCAACCCTGTGAAGGCTGGCATATCTAACCAGGGTTTTGATCGCTGATCACGTTTAAAGACTTGTTTATTCCCTAAGGCCAACTCGACAAAGGGAGGCTGTCTTGGAAGAGCAGTCTTAACAGCTGGCATTAGGTCCAACACCCCAAGCTGCTTCCACTGCAATGCTATCCAGTTATAAATGTTTCTCTTAAAAAGTAAAAAGCCCCAAAACTCTAAATGAACAAAAATCAAATAAACATAACTTAAAAGTGGGGTTTGCCATCCATTTCAACGGAGCAGGACACACCCTCAAATGACACTGTCCTGTCTCCATAAGGCTCAGACAGGACACAAGAGTCCTATTTCCCTCCTCTGGCTGTGTGCAAACAGTCTTTGGAAGAATCCTGCCCACTGGAGAAGGAGTGGGAAAGGAGTCTTGGTATTTGACTAATTGGCTAACATTTCATTCCTCTGGGATAGGGCACTTCTCGGGAGGGGCCAGCAGGACCCGGGAAGTCAAGGCACAAGCCAGTCCTCCCTTCTCCTTGTGTGGCCACACCGCCGGCATATTTGGTTTTTTAGAAACCCAGGCTGGCAACCCTATGTAAGGTTAAAAATAATACTGTAATCATTAAATGGATAAAACATTTACTCTCTGAACAAAACCTTTAAACTCATTAAAAAAAAAAAAGACATTGTAAACAAGTGGACAAGCACTGTACTCAAAGGATTCGCTGTTTTCCTTGTCTTCCGTGGGGATTAAAGGCCTAGCAGTTCAATGGCTAGCTTTTCTCATTATCCAATGAGACCAAGTGCTGGGGCTGGATTGAAATCTACAAGGCAGATTCTGAAGTCCTTCCGGGCATTGAGGAGTGCAGCCAGAGCGAATCACCTTGGAATCTGGAATGGTACTGTGTGATGTAGCGGGCAGCAACAGTGGGCGCTCCAGGCTGCTGCACTGTGCATTTCAAGCAACGAAGTCTGAAAAGTGCCAGGGCAATTTCTTCACAGTATTTCACATGCAAAGGGGACAGGAAGAGGGGAGAAGGAGCCCCATGCTGCTTTTAAGGCAGGGAAGGAGGCAAACTGGTCCGCCATCCTGGGGATGTGAGTTCCCAGGTTCCACTGCTAGGGACGTCTTGTGCTCTCCTCAGGTGGCTCTCTCTGGACCCAGAGAAGTGGATGCCTCACACAGCGGACACTTGTTCCTCTTCTGCAAACACAGCAGGGAAGAAAGTGGAAAATCAATGAGCGAGCAACTTCTCATGCTACAGCCAACACACTGCTGCTGTGCTAAATGAAAACGACTCACTTAAAACCCATGGCTTTTTAAGAAAAGAGATACACAGTGTGTACCTTTAAACATACATACACAAAATTAAAAATAGAGCTTAAAAATAAGCTAATACTGTGTTGTTTTGGTATAACAGTAAAGAACATCCGTAAGTATGTGGAAACATTTAACTTCTAAAAAAACACAAAGCTGGATGTAGTGCAGGCCTGTAATGGTGCTCAGAAAGTGGAGGCAGGGGTGAAGGTCTGAGAGCAGAATGGGTTATCAAACAAAAAAATAAAAACATGCACATTGTATGTTTATTGGTTAGAAAGTTATTATTAATAAATCCATTGAAAAGTTATAAATTGTGTGTCTTTGTTAATAATCATACACATTTAAAACTCAAGAAGGTTATATAAAAATATTACTAGTGATTATCTACAAGGGGCAAATCATGAATAATTTTCACTTATTGTGCTTTGCTTTTTTTCTATAGCAATTGTGTAATAAAATGTTAAACTAAGGCTTAAAGAAAAAGGGTGATGGGGGAGCCACGCTCACGCTCCCTGTCCTCCACCTGCATAGGCTGGAGAGCTGAGGCAGGGTGTGTGTGATGAAATGTGTGTGTCTTTACCAGCCTTTCCTGTCCACGCGAATCCCAGCTCGTTACATTTTAAAGTTCAAATGTAACGTCTCCACAAAGAACTGTGACCATCCGTGGTTTACTGGTCCAAATGTTAATTCTTGGAACCAGCACAAACTTGTGAGATGTTTATGTTGAAAATGGAAGCACTTCAATTTTGCAGGCAATCAGCCATGTCTGCCGGGGGTGTCAGAGGGGCGCTTGCCGAGCATGCTGGAGACTGGGCTTCATGCCCAGCATGGCACACACAGAACATAAGGCGGCAAAAGCAATTCAGCCGGAAGGGAAAGGCACAGGAAATGGCACCCCAGCCTCACAGGGCAGCAGGTTGGGCTGGAGTTTGGGTTCGGGTCAGGTCAGTACCGTCTTCGTCGGCGGGCTGCGGCTGCGGCGGATAGGTGGCCAGGCGCGGGTCGGCGTCCCCGGGCTTGTGCCACTGCGGCTTGGTGGCGCTGGCGCGGCCCAGGGGTGCGGGGCCGGGCGCGGGCTCCGGCCGGGCCACCATGCGCGACCTCTGCAGCGCCACGCTGTAATCCGGGGGCTTCCTGGCCGGGAGCGGCGGCCCCTCCGCGAAGTCGGCGATGGGGATGCCCACGTAGCCTGGCGGCGTGGGCGGCGGCTCCCGGTAGCGGCCCTCCTTGCGAGCTGCGGGGACAAGGAGGTCATTAAGGAGGGGAGGTGCCCGTGGCCTACAAAAGCCCATGGGATCACGCGGGCAAATGCGCCCCGCCAGCCCAGGCACCGCACCATCGAGGCTAGCTGGGGACTCACCCCAGAGCCACACGCGCCACAGGCCAGACGGGCACAGGGGTGAAGGCAGGAAATTTGAAAAAGAGTACAAGAAAAAAAAAGTTGCCAATTCTAACACTACCATAAGGTCTTTTTCTATAAATCCTTTTATTGTTTGTGACCTACAACATGAAATCTGTGAAGGCAAGGAAAACTAAAGCTTCATTTTCTTGAACTTTCTTCACTGAACCGTTCAGAACTAAAAATCATTCTTCCTTTCTTTACAATAAAATGCCTAGAATTAGGTTGTTAACAGAAATTGCCCAAGAATGATCAACCTAAGAATGTGCTAAACTGTTATCTCCTTAGTCATCTTAGAAAGATAGTAAATTTGATGGTTTCCCCAGTAATAAACATGGTGCCTGTAATGATTATATTCCAGAAGTTTTCACCATCTATCCTATAACCTACAGGTTATAGGATAACCTTTTTACAGACATTTTACAGACATTAAATATGCCATACATAGAAAACGCACATTTTTTATAATAGGACTGGACTGGGGCTGGCAAGCCTCTCTCAGGTCTAGAGTGGCACTGTCTGGGCAGAATACTGGGCACACTAACCCTCTCAAGGAGGAACTGTTGAGCTGTCCTCACAGATGAGGAGAGTCCAGTCCTCACAAGGCTAGGAAGAGTGTCAAAACAGGGATTACAGCCCCACTCCCAGGCCCGAACTCTTCCTCCTCACCTGCCAGCACCAGCACTCTCTCCCTACCCAGTGTGCACCAAGAATTTGTTTAGCACAGAAACAATGTGTCTGCATTAACAAAAACCAACAAAAGACTTTTTACTATGCAGACATAACATTCAAATATGATTTAAGGGACCAGAGAGTAATAAAACATTTTTTTAAAAGTTTCAATTAAAGAAAAAAAAAAAAAGACTAGGTAATATCCACAATGACAATCTATCAATCATAATAGCTAAGATTTATTTAATGTTTCACTGTGTGTGCCTGACCACAAAACCTTGGGCTGCTAACCACTACTCATTTCAAAATTCTGACCCCACTGCTAATTTGGAAGCCCTGATAGCAATGGGCAAAATGAGGGAAAGAACCACACAGAAGCTGGGCACCAGTGGCTCACACCTGTAATCCTAGTTACTTGGGATGCAGAGACCCAGGAAGATCACAGTTCAAAGCCAGCTTGGGGGAAAAGTTGGAGAGACCTATCTCTAAAATACCCAATATGAAGCAGGGCTGGTGGAGTGGCTCGAGTGGTATAGTGTGGGCCTAGAAGCGTGAGGCCCTGAGTTCAAACCACCAAAAAAAAAAAAATAAACAAAACTCCGAAAACTAGTTCCACCAATAATAATAAAGAATGTATGATTTGGGGGAAAAGAGAAAAGACACATAATGATTTGATTTCTGAATACTCAAAGCCTCGATTCAGGTGTGCCACAGCTGGCCAGGTTTCACACTTACCTACGAGCCCCTTAGCAGCACTTGGCGTCACAGCTCTGTGGGCAGGCATGGGGACAGGCTTGGTTTCCTCTGTGGTGACAGATGCTATGCTGCTGCTTTCAGCCTCAATGGTGACATCCTTTCCACCACGTCGCTTGATTGTGCCGGTGTCGCCTTCTGAGTCTTCTCCCCAGTAACCTGTGGAAGATGCCCAGCTTGCCCGGGACTGGGCTTGCTCAAGGCTCTCCCTACTTTGATTCTGCCTGTTATACTTTGTGCTATGATCAGAAAACGTAACTTGGTCCATATGGCTGCTTGAGGGCCATAAAGCCGCAGGAGCCCCTGAGCAGTCAAAGTGGGTGTGCCCGAGGGGAAGTGTTTCCCAGCTCCTCTGGTGCTGCATGGTCTGAATGCTGTCGTGGGAGCCGCTGGAGCATGACGTCCAGCTCCCGCGGCCGCTGTCGGCAGCATCCAGGGAAGCACGGTCCCCCTGGTCTTGGGAAAGCTCTTCCGTGCTTGGAGAAGAGATGATTGTAGCTGCAGCATACAAGCCTCGGCCCTCAGACATCGGTGCATAGGGCCTAAGTGGTCAGAACAGACAGAGGAGACACATCTGAGTTGTTCTGTGTTATCGAGCCAAGCCCTCACTGCGCGGCTCAGGTCTGGCCTCAGACTTGTGATGCGCTTGCCTCAGCCTCCCACGTGCTGAGATTATACATGTACCTGACCACTGAAATATTCTCCCCTAGAAAAGCAGCTTTCTTGCATCCCAGAAAGAGGACAAAAACACCACTGGGTGGCATGTAAAGTGGACTCTTTTGCCTGTCCAGGTTTCTCACCTTGTCTTTACCACAAAGTAAACCCAGAGGACGAGAACAACTTGCAGTAAGAAAGCAATGTTTCCTGTGGAAGCTTAGGGGTGGCTGAGTATAATCTGCTTGTCTATGGGAGGCAGCTCATGGAAAGCAGGTGGGGTATGTCCTAAAGTCACCTCTGCCTCCAGCACAGAACTGTGGGTCAATTAAGAACGAGCCTAACTGAAAAGCAGTCTGCACAACAACCACTCAATAACCTCAAAGGACTCGTTATAATAAGAGGCAGGGGAAGTTGGAAGGAGCACTGAGAGGGCCGCCTTACCCTAAGCTGTACTGATCAGGCTCAGTCATGGTCCGCCGCTCCATCCTGCCCACCCCCAGGTTTGTTTCCACGATACTGACAGAATGCCTCTGGCGCCTCTCGTCATGCAGTGGGACTGGCATGGAGTCAAAAGAAGAATTGCTGACAATACTGGATCGTGAGGAAATTTCACTGTGACCAGAATCTGAAAAATTATCCACAGTACCGCTGGGAGCCAATGTGTAACCTGTATGAGAAATACAAGCACATCATTAGACACTCTGCGCTCACAGCATGAACCTGAAGTTTCCCAACTAGGAGCAAAAATGAAATGCAGCCATGGGTATCACCACTGAAGCAGGTTGTGTTTTCCTTTTTACTTGTAGAGACAAATGACTAAGTAAGTAAATTTTTACTTTAATGGTCTTAAATTGCTTAATCAAATGTTAGGGAGGGGCAAAAACATGTCATATCCCCTAGGAACAGGTGCTGAGACCACGCACCGGTCACTGTTTATGCTTTCGCAGCATGTTTCAGTTTGCATAAAAGAAACCCGGCTGGGATGAGGCTCAGTGGGTGAGCACTTGCCCATGTGGGTGAGGCTCTGGGTCCTAACCCTAGCATCACGGGTTTCATCAACCAGGCTGAAAAGTATGATTTTCCCCCCTAAACTGCAGTCAATAATCTTGTTTCCAATTTTTATAACTGTGAGCATGGCAGAGAACAATTCAACTGGAAATATCTGTGTATACTTATAATCTTAAGTGGACAGATAAAAAGAGTAAGAAATACAATCTGAAGACGGTATCTTTGGATTTTTGCCATTTAGTTTTTCAACATTAGTAATGTATCAGTTGAATGACATAAAAGCCAATTACTTGAAGTTGCCTTTCCTCAGATCAACACTGTAAACAGGTGTCCATTATCTGGCCTGAAAGGACCCTTTACTCCTTTGTTATTAAGGTAATTTTGAAGGTCACAAAGGGAGAGGCCTTTCTTTTTGGTGGTACTGGAGATTAAACTCATCTAGGTTATTTTGGGATAGAGTTTAACCTCCTTTTGCTCAGACAGAGACAGGCAATGCCCTGCCTCCTGAGTAGCTGTCATTACAGGCATGAACCACCCATGCCTGCTTGAATAATTTTGTTTTTTTTTACAGTACTGGGGTTTGAACTCAGGGTCTCACACTTGCTAGGCAGCTACTCTACCCTACCATCCGAGCCATACCTCTAGCCTTTTTTGCAGTAGTGATTTTTGAGACAGGGCCTCTCCTTTCTGCCCAGGCTGGCCTGGACAACAGTCCTGCTATTTGTGCTTCCCATATAGCTGAGACAACAGGCATGAACCACCACACCCAACTATTGGTTGAGACAGGGTCTCTTTTGCCAGGGGCCAGTCTGGAACTGTGATCCTCCTGCAATCCTCTCCATCTCCACCTCCCCTGTACACAGGACTATAGTTAGCCACTATGACCTGCCACTTTGATAATTTTTAATGGAAAAAATTCAAATCTCCTTCAAGGACTATTACTTAGTAAGATAGTAATTCAATCACAATTAAATGTGATTGAATATGATTATATACAATGTAAAAAATTTCTCAGTGCAATTTGCAAAAAAAAAAAATCAATCTAGAGTATCTAAATGTCAATTTAAGTATGTTCCCATTTACTGATAAATGATTCCTGATTTATTTTTTTAAAGGTTACACAGGTCTTGATAAGACTTAGTTTTGTTCATTTATCCGCAAATTCTGATAGATAAGATTTAAATCATTCCCTGAAAAGAAACCTCTAGAAAAATAATCACTCAGATGGAGCACTTGACATTGGAGGAATTCTCCCATCTTCTTCAACTGATGAGATGATTCCTCTTTCCCACCCCGTTTTTGGTTCTAAAAACCCCACCTATCCCATAGGTCCGTGGTGCATTGTTATTCTTGTTACTGTTCTCACTTCCAAGAGAAGAGGAGGAACTGGTTAAGTCCAACTGCCCGGAGCCAAAAGATCTCAGCTGATTGCCACTGCCACCTAGCAACAGGATGAGAAAAAAATTTAGATAGATCCACTTAACAAGGACTCTGGAACTGACATCCACGCAAAATGCACAGGTGTCTGAAACATCTATAAAGTAAAGCAGAATTTGTTGCGTCAGTGAGGTTTAATAACTCAGGAACCCTATGGCCTTCCTCTAGTGAAACTAAACCTCAGCCCTTCACTGCTGGTTGACACCCACTCAGGTGGGACCGACCTGTGTGTTTTAGAATGAGAACATATCATCACGAGGAGGAAACTCAGACTGCCTAAAGTGTAGTTAGTCTCTTCAAAAATAACAAGAAAGGTAATCAAGACCCATGTTAATACAATGAAAAAATAAATCAGGAACATTTGTTTTTGTATGTTTTTTAAGACCTCTTCTCTGTATAATCAAATTAATTGTATAACCAAATAGTTAGAACAAATTTTAACATAATTCTTCCTGTACTTATGATTAATAAAAATTGGATTTTAAAAGAAGGCTTTTTATAGTTATACATTTAACACTAGCTATTATAAATTATAAAGCGAGGGAAAAAAATCATTGAATATCTTATGAGAGATCATTTTAAAGGAGTACAGTACTAAAAATTATGTGTACCTAACCAGGAGCTTTTAGTAACTGAAATGAGTGGATTTGGAGAAAGGGGTGGTAAAGCATTTAGCTCTACCTTTCCTCGGAGAGCTCTGTGGAGAGGTGGGAGGAGAAGACAGCTGTGAAGATGCATTGGAGATCGTGTCTTCTGCTGTTTTTTTGTGACGCTCCAAACTCCCTTCTTCAGACAGGGAAAGGATTTTCTTTAAAGCTTGTGGAGAGTTTATACCTATTAAAGAAAGAAAACAACTCAGATACGTACTTTCAAGACTGAGAAGAAGCATTAATGACTAAAAACTCACGTTAAGGTTTCAAGCTATTTCCCATCTCGATGTTCATATACTCCTCATGTGTCAGCAGTGAGTGACAGCAGGCTCGAGGTACTTGTACCTGCCACCGTATTAGAAACAGACTGCTTCTGACATTTCACTCTAAGTTCTAAACTTAATGTGGTAATCATATTCATTTAGCAACACATTAGGCAACAAAAGGAAGAACAATTTGAAACATATGAATTTTGGATGAAAGCAGCACAGTAAATTTCAGCTCCACCTGAAATTAAGAACTCAAGTTTGGTATTGTTGGAAATTTACCTCTGGGAAGTGAAGTGGGAATGACGGGAGAGAGGTAAATGGCCAAGAGCTAGCAGGCATTAACTAGGAAAAGGGAAGGAAAGAGCTCTTAGGGTTTCCATGCACGAATACTTGCTTAAATACACAGATGGAATGAAAGTGCTGTGTCACAGAATCTGTGGGAGGGATGGGGATGGAGAAAAAGAATTACACAGGTCCATATGTGATCTCCTCCCAATTATTTTTTAGAAATAGTTTAAACTATTTTACAAACTCTGGGCTGGTGGAGTGGCTCAAGTGGTAGAGCTGCCTCTCTAGCAAGAGTGAGGCCCCCAAGTTCAAACTCCAGTACTGCCAAAATAAATAAAAATATTTTACAAACTCTTCATATTATTTCGAGCCCCTCTCAATTATGTGATTTTTGAACAACCAAGAGGTTTTCCGGAAAGGCACGACAGTCTGAAACTACCTCAAATCAGCACTACCTTTAAAGGGTCACAGACTTAACAGACCCATAAAATTTAACAAAAATTTAATCCTTCATTTCACCTCATATGAGTTGTTTGATGCTCTTTTAATACAACCTTTAAATAATCACTTTTAAAACAATACTTTGATTACATGTAGAAACACTTATACACTATATATGAAAATACACTGGAGCACCACACACATTCAAAAGGAGCTGAGGTATCTTTCAAGTACCATAGGCACATGCAAACTGTGTTAGCATCTTCAAAAGTGGTTCTAGTGATAACTTTGGGGTTTTGTTGTTGTTGCTGATTTTTGGCAGTACTGGAACTTGCACTTGTTAAGCAGGTGCTCTACTGTTTTTTGCTTTGTCCCACTATGTACTCCAGGCTGGCCTAGAATTTGTAATTCTGCCTCAGCCTCCTAGGTGCTGGGATCATAGGAGAGTACCACCACATAAAGGTGAAAGATGTAGAAAGTATTTGGAATAAAAAATTAATTCACAAATTAGAATGGGGAAGAAAACCTTTCAGTATCTATAAAATGTAACTTTAAATATGTTAAACTAATTAAGATAACACAGTCTTTCATCTACCTTTTTTTTTTTTAGCAGTATTGGGGTTTGAACTGTGAGCACTGCACTTATTAGGCAAGTACCCTTGAGCCACACCCCCAGCCCTTTTTGCTTTTACTTTTCAGCCTCAGTCTATAATCCTCCTACTTATGCTTCCCTGACAGCTGGCATTACAGAAGTATGCCATCGTTCCCAACCCTATCATCCACATTTCTAAAGCTCTTAGATTCAAATGGACCAAAGTGTTTTGAGAGACATTTGCTTTGGGAAACTGGGAGACACCTCTATATTCAGGTACATCTACTTTATGTTAAATATAGGTAATAGGCTATTCTTAGCTAAAAGAAGATTGATAATCTTCCATACAAAAAGTCCAGCATAAAAGAGGAGACAGAAACCAAGCTGCAGAGCATTTAAGAATACACATAAATTAAGAGCCCAGGTAATTCAATTTGTGATACAATGAACACCACCAATATGTGAAGGGGAACACACCGAGTAAAGATGCTCACACTCATCCCAAACTTGGAAGACACCACACGGGCTGAGCAGGAAGAACAGGCAGGGCCAATACACATGGAATCTACTGCATGCCTCAGTCAACTCATGAAGTGCGGAACTCAGTTACCAGCATCCCATGTTACTCAAGCAAGCTCTTCCCTACCCATTTATTTAAAAAATTTTCTTATCCTCATTAACATTATTTCCTCCTGCATATATGTAGAAAAAAACCCTTGTTTTGTTGAATATTCACATAAAGGGACTAAACCAGTAGATAAACTACTTTAAATAGCTTTATTTTCCTTTTCTGGTACTGAGGTCTTGGTAGGCACTCTACCACTTGAGCTACTCCCCCAGCCCGAGTAACTGTAAATGGGAAAGAAACATGATTTTGCTTGTTAACTCTAAGGCAGTAGCTGTACTCCTGCAGCTCCCAAGCTCTAGAATTAGTGAGTAAAAAATAATAATTCAACTCCATTTGCACCATGTGTGAAGCCCTGGATTTGATGCCCAGGACTGAAAAAAAAAAAATCACCTCCAGACAAATCATTTAACTTAAAAATATTTTGCCTAAATGTATGGATTCATTGATCACAATGCAAAACCTAGTTTAAATAATTCATACAAACAAAAAAAACTTCTGTCCCTATTAAAATAGAAGTTAGTAAATGTTTATCTTCTCTATATCACTGCATCTCACCATGATAAGCAAACATGCCAAATGAGACACTTATCCTACAGAATGGGAGAAAATTTTTGTGAGCTATTCAGCTGACAAGGGATCAATATCCAGAATAGGGCTGGAGGCATGGCTCAAGTGGTAGAGCACTGTCCTAGCAAGTGTGAGGTCCTTAGTTTAAACCCCAATACTGTCAAAAATAAGAATGAAATTTCTCGTGTCATTTGCAGGAAAATGGATGGAGATCACCGTGTTGAGCGAGATAAGCCAAGCTCAAAGAGACAAATATTGCATGTTTCTGCTAAAATGGTAACAACAGTAATAATGGGACACAAACATACAAGTGGGACGCTCGGGGGAGGGGGAAAGGAGAAGACACTGGGTGGGGGCAGGGTGAACAAGACTGAAGTACATGACATATATATGAAAACAGCATAATGAAACCCACTCAACATGGTCTGAAAAAGTGGGAGGAGGAAGAAAGTTTAGGGGGTATAATAGGGTGAATCTGATCAAAGTACAATGTACACATCTATCACAATAAAATTCCTTTGTACAATTAAGGTACACTAATAAAAAAGGAAAAAATGCTCACCTTGAAATGCCATGTACATTAAATGAGGTAATATTATAAAACCGCTTGCCCTGTAGTGAATGCTTAATTAGTGCTATCATTTCTATTTTCACTGTTACTGCTACTACTGCCTAATCTAGGCCTATGATAGCTTTAGGAGCTTCAATAAAAAACCAAAAATGGAACCAAAAAAATAAAAAAGAGGAAAAAACTCCAGAATATATAAAGAATGTAAAAAGGCAAATGCCAAAAGAATAATCCAATTAATAAATGGGCAAATGAATTAAAGGGGGAGGGTAGACTGTTCCCAAAAGAAGTACAAATGGCCAATAAATACATGAAGAAATGTTCAACATTTTTAGTCATAAAGGAATACAAATCAAACCAACACTGAGATTCCCTCTCCCCAGTCAGAATGGCTATCATCAAGAAAACAAACAATAACAAATGCTGGTGAGGACTGGCTGCTGGGTGGGGGAGGAACCCTCATATACTATTGGTGGGAATGTAAATTAGTGCTGTCACTTTGGATATCAGAATGGAGGTTTCTTAAAAAACTAAAAGTAGACCTACAATAGATTGGGCATATATCCAAAGCAATGTAAATCAGGATATAAAGAGGCACCTGCACACCCATGGCATTACTCACAATTGCCAAGCCATGGAATCAGCAGAGGTACCCACCAATAGATGAATGGACAAAGAAAAATGTGACACACACACACTATTCAGCCATAAAGGAGAATAAAATTACATCATCTGCAAGAAAATAGATAGAACTGAGATGTTATATAAAAATAAGGCAGACTCCAAAAAACAAATATTGCATACTTTCTCTCACAGGCAGAATATAGATTTTGAAAAAAGACATGAAAGAAGGAGGAGTGTAAACTGGCAGGAGCAGGAAAATGGATGAGATGATGACTAAGATGAACATGACTGAAGTACTTGTATACATGTATGAAAATGTCATTATTTTGTACATTTAACATATACTAGCAAAAATAAGTCAGATGCAGTTTACAAAAACATTCCCTCCCACTGGCAAAAGTAAAATTTAACTTGCTGGATATTTATGGGTTTTTTTTTTTTTGTGGTACTGGGGTTTGAACTCAGGGCCTACACCTTGAGCCACTCGACCAGCCCTTTTTTGTGATGGGTTTTTTTCTTGTGAACTATTTACCCTGGCTGGCTTTGAACCATGATTCTCCTGATCTCTGCCTCCTGAGTAGCTAGGATTACAGGTGTGAGCCACTGACGCCCGGCATATTTATCTTTTATTAGATGATAATCACAGAAAATCTCAAGTACATCAGATAAAATTTTCTAAGGTAAATACTGTTTTCCTAATCTGCAAAAACATGTCAGTGAATAGCACCAAAAAAGAAAATGAATTTAAACACTTACCAAATGGTGGGAGATCCTTCACAGGCACCTTCTTTCGTGAAGGATAAAGGGACACAGCAGGAACCTGCAGTCCTTGGCTGACTTTATGTGGTGGTGCTTGTGGCTGCGACTGGGGCTGGGGCTGCATTTTCTGCTGCGAACCTGCCCGTGGAGCCACTGGAGAGGTCTCGGATTTGGCTGGCTTCTTGTCACCAGGATTCTTAGGCACTGATAATTATTTGGTTTGAAAACAGAACAGAGTGTAAGGTGTCAGTAGCTATGTAGGTGATAATTTCAGGAGTGCATGAGCATTCCCTGTAGCTAGGATAATTAAACCACAACCCTTTTCTTCCTGTGTCCTCATCAAACACAGAAAGGGAGGACAGCTCTAGTTACAGAGAATGTGAGAGGCAGGGCAGGACAAAGATATTCACTTTATGACATCAGCAACCTCAAAAATGATTATGCTGTTAAATACCAGATTAAAAATGTAGCTGGGAGCAGCGGTTTAAGCCTATCTAATCTTAGCTACTTGGGAGGTAGAGAAAGAGAAGATTTCTGTTCAATGGCAAAACAATCCTGAGACCCCATCTCAACCAATGGCTAGATGTGATGGCATGTACCTGTCATCCCAGCTACTCAGGAAAGCACAAATAGGAGAATGAAGCCTGGTGCAGGCCAGCTCAGGAATAAAGACAGACCAGCATAAAGAAAGACCCTATCTCAAAATAACCAATGCAAAAAGGGCTGGAGTCATGACTCAAGTGGAAAAGTGCCTGGCAAGCACAAGGCCCTGAGCTCAATCCCCAGTACTGCCAAATAATAAACCAAGAAACAGAAATGTGACTCGAACTTAACATTGAACTATGTTAAATGTATTAAAATATACAAGTATGTCATAAAAGTTACAACAGAAAAATGATCAAGAGTTATTTTTGTAAAATGGCATCCAAAATTCTTTGACACATCTGAGATAAGTTTCAATGTAATAAATGCCACTAACTGCTACAATCTATTTGTAAGACTTCTCCTATGGAGAGAATTATCTGTAAGCAAACGGCAGCTGATACTGTTTGAGTGTTATGGGAGGCAGATGGAAATCCGTTTAACAGGGCACGTATATGAGGTGTACATAGACTCTCAGTATCCAGAATGACTCAGTAACTTGTGTACTTCCTTTATTATACACACTAAGTGCTAAGGATTAGAAAACTCAAATAGCTCGCCTGAGGCCATGATGCTGGTAAGAGGAACAAACAGGACTTGAACTCAGGTCACTCTGCCTCTTCACCATGTCACACAGTGCTTTTATTTTTATAGTGTCCTGGTAAATCTAATCATGTGAATCTTCTCAAATCACTGATCTCACTGCTAAACTCCACAGAAGCTACCTTCAAACCTACCCATGGAAGACCCAAAAGTGTCCTAAGTGGAATATTCCAGGGCTATATATGTGTGTCCTAGTGCTTGGTTCTTATCTTGGCCAGATCAGTCTTCGTATCTACTTATCTGTCTACCTATCACTTCTTCCCCTTCTTTCTTTCTTTTTTTCCTTACCCATCTATCTTTATTGTATTTATTTATTTTGGTGGGACTGGGGTTTGAACTCAGGGATTTCAAGCTTGCAAAGCAGGCACTCTACCACTTAAGCCACACTTTCAGTCCATTTAACTTTGGTTATTTTGGAGATGGGGGTCTCAAGAACTATTGGCTTGGGCTGACCTTCAATGTTGATCATCCCGATCTCAGCCTCCCAAGTAGTTAGGATTATAAATGTGGCCACCAGTGCCCACCCTGGCCAGATTTTTTAAGGCTGGGGACCTACACATGAGGCTAAGTTATGGGTAACTGTACTACAGGATTATTGCTTTAGGTGCAGCTAAATTTGTTGGGGGGAGGGGCATGCTCTCTGGGCTAGGGGTGTAACATGCAGCCACACTGTTATCCTTGGACCTAGCTCATCCCCTTTCTTCCCCAGGTTGCCTGTGGCTTTGGGAGTACCTCTGTGAGAAAGGAAGGCATGAAAACTGGGATAGCATGAACCCACTTGTTCCCTGCAGGTGCAAAGCTATGTCAGATGTAGCCAAAGAAAACCTGAATGAGTCTAGAGTGCTCCCTCCCATGCCAACTCAACAGCACACGCTGGCATGGCTGAACACAGGGGACAGGCTAGTGCACCTCAAGACCACTGCTTTCCTCTTTGCTCTTAGTCCCCCTTCTGTCCCCACCCCTGACACTGCACAGGACACAGCCTGCATTCTTACCAGTCTGCAGTTGCTTTTGGGAAACTTACACGTGTTGGTGGCTGGCTCGCACTGCAGTGACAATGTCTGAAGACTCTCCTCATCCATTTCCAGTTCCAAATTGGACAGGTACTGCTTCACTTTACGAGCCATTTGGGCATCTTCGTAAAGCTTTTTGGCATTGAGAAAGGAACTACGTCGTACCCGCTTTTTATGACCGCCTGTCTGAGCAACATCCAGCACGGTGGCATTTGCACTACCCTGGCTGAGGGACCTGGGAGATGAGAAGGGAAAGATGCAACTCACATAGGCATGGCATTAGTCCGTCTACTAGAAACTGCCAAGACTTGTGCAAATATTCTACATTTGAAAGGTCACATGCCTCATTCCAGTATGTAAACTGTTATAAAGGAACATGGAATAATATAGATCACCAAAGTTTGCAGTTAAAAAAAGTTATACATAATCACATATAAATATATGTTTGGCACCTGTTCTGCTCAACTAGGAAATTCTACTTTTCACCTCTACAGAGAATTTGGGGTCATTTTCTCACAGAAGCCAGCACACGATAGTTGTACATAAAAGCTCATGCAAGAATACACAACTACAATCATTACAATTTACATGTTAAATTTGTTTCTCCTAAAAAGGAAGTTTATATAGGTTTAAGTAAAATTAGCTACAACATTCACAAATGTTTTTACTTCTTGGACTGAATGTGGTGAGTTTTTAAAGTAATATGGTCAATCTGTTAATACAACAATCATGCAGATATAAACATGTATGTATGAAAACTATTTAGTACATGAATTGTTAAGAATTATTTTCAAAAAGGATTGGTTTATATAGAATGAAAATAGTAGTTAGTTGAGCTGTAGAAAATCTGATTTTATTACCTTGGGGGTATCTTTTGTATTACACATTTACTTCTGTGTATTTGTGCAATAGTATTTTAATTGCACAATTTTCCCTTCCAGTATCATTCTTTCCCTCCCCCTACTTTGGGCTTTTTTCATTTCAAGACACAAAAATTATATTAAAATAAAATTTTCTTTCTGAGAGCTGAGAAAAATGCTTGGTCTTCAGTTCTCCAGAACAATCAATCATTTCACAGCTCTCGTAGATCATGGCTTAAAAAGCAAAAGCCCCAAACTTGAAATCAGTTTGCCATCTGAAATTCTGCTAGAGCAAGAGTGTTAAGGAAAAATGCAAAAATGCAAAGCGTCAGAAAACAGAGCAGGTAGAAAATGCAATGGGCTGAGCGAGAACTGAGTGTGGGGTGCGAGTTCTCCACCACTTACCCCAAGCTCCGCCATTTCTTCTTCCTGTAAGTGAGAGCCATGGAGAATGAAGCATGGGTGCAGAGAGAGAGAGAAAGAGAAAGAGAGAGAAAGAGAGAGAGACGAAAGGTCACAAGCTCAGAAAAGAAAGGACTGCACTTCTGGACACACTTCTATAAGCCCACAAATGTCATACTGCACAATCCACCTCAGTGTACTGCTGTACTAGAAACATTTTCTGGCTCAAAAGATGAACATTTTAAATTTTCTGTTCTAGAAGAATAACTTCTTTTTGTCTCTTTCCCTGAATTAATCATTTTGACTATGCTGAAAGCTAAGTCTATCATGTGGATATTGAGATAATACTTTTAGAGGTATTTACGTATTTTAGTTCATACTACCAATTATGAGTTCTAACTCTCTAAGCCAGTGTCCTGAAAAATAAGAAGTAAATGCTTGCAACTAATGTTAAATTTAAAACATCTGAAGGATAAGCTTTTTTTTTTTTTCTGGAGGGGGAGGTATCACAAGTGTTCTTGATGCAGAATGAGACATTTCCTCCAAATTGAAGCCTGATGGTGATACTCAGCACATTCTCATATAATTCCTGCTATATTACAAATATCCCAGTTTTTTCCATCCATGGAGAATCTCTAAACTCAATCTCTCTAACCCCACACAAGCTGCTAGAGAGACTCACGCACCGGGTCCTGAACATGAGGGCTGGGTCCATGTTGACTGAAGCCATTCGGCCAACATGACGAATTTCTTTTGCAATCATTCTCAGCTTCTCAAAGTTGACCAGCCCGTCTACTTTTGAGTCGTTTCCTATGATTGGCAGAGGAGGAAAGGAAATCACATGGCATTCAGTCTGCACTCCCACAAGAGAAGGCAGAGCCTCCACCGTGCTCACCTTCGTGGAGAAATGTGAGGTCCTTCTTGATGACAGGGAACAGGGGGATGACAGGAGGCTGCAAATTTTGACCACTGAGGACGTTGCGGTACTTCGCCATGTTTCTGGAAGGATCGAACAAGTCTTGGAGATCCTGGAATAGCTTTTCATATTTATTAGGAAGTTTTTCCCAGGTGGTTCGCAGTCTTGCAACTGGTGCCAGGTTTAGGCCACTAAGAGGAAAAAGTTGGACACAATGAAATGATCCCCTCTGAAAGGAAGGAAGCAGATGGTGTACTGTTTATTTCTAGACACAGAGCACCTTTGTGTGTGTGCTTCATGCTCTCCTGCTCTGTTTACTCTCCTATAGTTTGGCCCATGAGTTAAAGGCTTAGTCCTCAAACCTGTGCTGTTAGGAACTTGGGGAGGGGACTTGAAGAGGTATGGAATAGTGGGAGGTCTTAGGTCACTGGGGACATGCCCCCAGTGGGGACTGTGGGACCCTGGTCTCTTCTTTTTCATGCTTCAACCACAAGGTGAACAACTTTGCTCTGTCACTTGTTCCTGCCATGGTATTTTACCTCCTCATAAATCCACAAGCAGCAGAGTCAACTGACCATGGACTGAAGCCTTTGAAACTGTGAGCCAAAATCAATCTTTCCTCTTTATAAAATAATTACTTCTGGTATTTTGTTACAAAACAAAAAACTGACTAGCATGCTATCAACAAAACTACTAGCATATAAATATTACTGTTTTTTTTCCCATACATAAAGCAATATTTAGCTCATAGCAGACATCTGATAAAACAGACTGGATAAATAACCTACAGTAATAAAATAAAGTAAATGTCATGGTAGTCATGAAGTGTGACCAACTCCCGGGAAGATAAAACGACAAACTTTATAATCACCATTTTTTGTGTGTGTTACCAGGGTTTGAACTCAGGGTCTCAACACTAGGCAGGCATCTGCCACTTGAGCCACTCCACCAGTCCTTTTCTGTGATGGGTTTTTTCGAGATAAGGTCTTATGAACTATTTGGCCAGGCTTCCAACCGCGATCCTCCTGATTTCTGACTCCTGAATTGCTAGGATTACAGGCGTAAGCTGCTGGTGCCCGGCAATATATTTCTTTCCTTTTTTTGGTGGAATTGGAGTTTGAACTCAGGGCTTCATGCTTGCAAAGCAGGAGCTCTTCCACTTGAGCTACACCTCCAGCCCAACAATCACCTTTAATAACAAAGTGACTTATGGTTCCATTTGTATTTTCTTCCAGCCTCAATCTAAGCACCTTTTAAAAGGGAAGAAAACATTCATTGGCCATCTGCTCTGTGCTGTCTGATGGAACTCCACATACACTGTATCATTTAATCTTCTTGGTGGCTCTTTGGGTATTGTTATTTTACTGATAAAAAAAAGTGGTGTTCAGACAAGTTCAAATAATTTGTTCAGAATTAGAGTTAAAAAAAAAAAAAAGAAGAAAAAGGCGGTGAATATAAACTTTCTAGTCTCCAACTCAGCACAAGAGATTTTTCACATTAAAGAATAAGAATCACAGAAAAGGAACTGCCCATTGTGAGTCACTCACAGCCTAGCATGCACAGACCCTAAGCTCCATCCTCAGAAACTGCAAAGTACTGCACTTATGTAACGATGTGAACACGGCCATGTGCAGCCTGCATCTCAGGACAGCGGGCTCGCCTACCTGATGATTGCAAACATCGAGTTAAAGTTCTTGCATTCCCGGCAATGCAGCGCTATCTTGATGAAATGCTTAATGATCTTCATCCTTTTCAGCTGGTTTGTCTCTCTCAGAATTTCAGATGCCACCCAAAATGTTTCCTGGTTAATGACTTCTTCAAATTTCTTAAGGTTGGCACAGCTGGTTTTTGACTTCAGTTTAAATAAATCGTCTATGTATTCAGTAGGCTCAATGTTGCGGAAAAGCTCAAAATTCCGCATAGAGAGCTGGGTGGCGACTTCGACTGTGCTAAGCTGAAGCAGGGAAATTTGGCTCTCTCGAAGCAACTCCTGAGCATCCTCATCCGAACACAGCGTTTCTGTTTCCATGTTGTTTTTCAGATAGTACCTGTGGAAAACAGAAATGTGCCAGATGTAAACTCTGAGCAGCTGTCTCATATTCCTTGGGAGAATAATGCTACCTCTTATGGGAAGCTTGGAAGAACACTAACTTGATGGAAGAATTCTTTTCACCCAAGAAGGGCAATACAGCCACAAGATCTCTAAGCCACCAGGACATAGAGCCACCTGCCCAGAAGGTAGGTGGAAGTGGACAAAACACATGGAATTTCAGTTGTACCATTTCCTCCTTTCCTTTTCTGTCTTCTAAATTATTTTATCCTGTTTGCTGAAGATTACAGAAAACAGCTATTATTCTGTTTAAGTAAGGGTACCAGTCCTAAGGAGGAAAAATTAGATCCAGGTCATCATTCTATTGTCCCAGAGGGAAAAGAGAATCTGACAACTGAGGGTCCAAATTTGGTCAAATTTACTTATTTATTCAAATGCCTAAGAAACCTAAAAGCCATCTCCATCTACTTGATCCTATAACTAGAACAATCCTAAAACAGATGTTGCTTTTTAAGTATCTAAATTTTCATGAAGACCTTACAGGTAAGTGGGACAGGCATTATCCTGTCAGACTAGGAAACAGGCTTTTTAGTGATGAGAATTCAGAACCAACACACCCTTCTCTTTTGAAGTAGCTTGCTGAAAACAGCATTTAGGTATTTTCTCTGTGTTTTTTTTTTTTTTCTCTCTCTCTATGTCTCTGTCTTTCTCTCTAGTAGGCAAGTGCTTTCTTAAAACAAAATTCTATAAGGAAGAAATAGAATGCGCGTAGTGGAGGTCCTGATAAACTGCTCTTCTGCATGTTTCACAAAACATTTACGACAGAAAACATATAGCTTAGGCCCATGACAGTCACAGATCTAATGCTTTCCATTTGGATCACTCATCCAGCCCAACTACAAGGACCCAGCTACAATTTTCTTAAATAATTAATGTGAATCACTAATCTGGGGCTCAATGGAAATTTGTACAACTCCATCATGATTCAGATCTATCAATGTACAACCAAATAACTGAGAAAACTTGACCTCCTAAAATTAAACCATCCACTGGCAATGGGGCTAGAAATAAAAGTGAAGAGTAAGGAAGTAATAGCTGCTAATAGCTAGAAAATAATTTTGAAAGAATCGAGTCATAGTTTAGACCTTACCAAATAAAATTCAAGAATAATGAAACATTCCATAATGTAGGAGAAACAGAAAAAAATGTTACTTATGCAGCTACTTAATTTTCAGTCACTGTAGAATCCCAATTCTATACGAGATCCAAAACTTACTTTTTCAACTTTCAGTTATCTGTGGTTTGAGGGCAACCTAACAATAGGATTATCACTGAAGAGGATGACAAACATCAGGTCCAATGTTTTCTTGCAAGTAATGTGTAACATAGGCACTTATGCAAGCAACCAAGGACAGGCTCTGTGGCAACTACAATTTGGTTCTAGAGTTAAGATTTCCACAGAATAGCATACAATAATAAGGTGGTAATAGCCAGCCACATTGCCACAGATGTCTCTGACTAAATTAATGAGGCTCCCAGAAAGTTAGGTATACAGTAACACATGACACTAGGAGATTATTACGTAGTTGATATTCACATCCAAGGAGACAAGCACATCCAGGACTATTCAGTGACTGAATATCAAGTTTTCTGCTCTGTGGGCCAGGAAAAGCCTGAGAAGTTACTGCCTGTACACTGGCTGTCAAGAACAACTTTCAAGTTATGGGCCTTCCCAGGCTCTTACAGGCTGCTTGGGAGGCTGAGCAGTTTGCCCCATGCACGTACTATGAGACAGTGGCACACAGTGGGGAAACAACGCTCCTGTTTTAATCAGCAGGGGCTCTGACCATTTAAAAACCCTCAAGATGTGCATCTATTAGACTGTGGCCTGGGCTTGAAAAAGGTTGAAGCAATTCTGAAAGACAGAGCGTGCATACCTTCCACTCAGCTGTATTCTGTCAGCAAGCTTGGAAAGCTGGTCTGGAAGTCTTCTTTGCTTGATGACTCCCTCGGGTGTAACAGAGACCTCACAAAGAGAATACTGATCTGGGGTGGCAGTAACAGCAAATTCCCGGATGGCCTGAATGACCACTTCTTTCGCTGTGGTGTCTTTACTAATCATGATGTACCGGCTTTGCTGGTCAGCCTTGAAAACCCGTAAAACTTGATCTGGCAAGTCTGGGGAAAAGAAAAGGCACACATTTGTTGAAAGAATTTTAATGTATTGTAATGCAATTAAGCAAAGTAATCCGGAAAAAAAAAAAAAACTCCCTAGAAAAGAGGAAAGTAAACTTTCACCTGCTTCTTACTAGAGCTCTTCAAAAATTCAATCAACAAGCTATGTTGCAAGAACACATCTTCCTCTACAGATAACTAAATGATCCATAGACAGATGCAAACAGATAAGCACACAACAGCACATGTGTAAGACAGTCATGGGGGTATCAAAGGAAGAAAAGTTTAAATCTAAAGTTAATCTTTCTTGTATTGAAAAGCCCAATAAGTTAACCTAATGCACATCCTACTCTACTTGATATGACTTAGTAGTGACAACATGGCATATTACTACTCACTGTATCAAAGAGGAGTCAGGTTCAGAGAGCTGAATCTGCCTGTCATCATATCAGAATAGTTTCCAGAATATGACAAGATCTGGTTCCAATGGTTTGGAGTCAAGATTTATCCTGACTCTTGGCATCTCATACAACCCATGACAACGAAAGAGAGCTCTGTGGCACTACCATGTCAGAAGGAAAGAACCCTCCAAGCCCTTGTGCTCACCGGGGGTAGTGCTGAAGTCTAGGATGCGATGATGTGACTGCAGTAGGTCAGGGTTACTGGATGACAGAGTGCCGCTGACAGGCAGAGCAGCTGGGATGTGTTTCGTCTGCCTCAGTCCTACTATGCTGTCATCCTGAGACTGACCAATCCCAATATCACTGGGCAAGGAGGAAAGTGAGAAAGTAAATTATCAGCAAGATAAAAAGTTAGAAGACGTTACAGACCATTAAATAAATGTAAAAACCAGCCACAACTGCCAAAGCATGTCCAACTCACTTTGCTGTTTTGTAAGTGTACAGTTTGCTTAAAACCACCAATTACAGAGTATTTTCTCAGTATAAAAATATATTCAAGAATGAATGTGCTTGTGTTTCCAACACAAGTGGATTTAAGAAAAAGCACACTAAAAAGAATGCATTCAGACTCACTCATCCAATGGTGTACATCAGAACGGACACAAATTGTTTCACAATTTGATCTCTAAGAAACAAAAAAGGTATTCTCCAATATTTTAGGGAGAAAAATGAGCACTATGGAGTCAAATGTTAGGAAGCCCTGACACAGACATTATTTCTTAATTATAGAACATAAAAGATCTGTGGGGCATGGTGACATTTCCTGGCATCAAAGAAAAGGCAATGGAAACTCAATGCCCAAAATTTCTAGTTAAACACTTAAGATCTCAGAAAAAATACTAATAATAAGTATTATAGCTACAAACTCATTTCTACCTATAAAAAAAAAAGCACCTGACGTGGAGAACTCTTTTTTTTTTTTTTTTTTAATTGAGACAGGGTCTTGCTATGTAACCCAAGCCAATCTCAGACCAATAATCCTCAGCTTCAGCCCTGAGTGCTGGGATTACAATAGGCAAGCTGCACTGAGCCTGGCTTGTGGATAACACTTTAAACATTAATAATGTATAAAAATTATTTTTCAGCAGGGTGTAGTGGCATACCCTGTAATCCTAGCTACTCCAGAGGTGGAGAGAGGAGGATTGCGGTGCAGTCCCAGCAAAGTTAATCCATCTGACCCTACTTGAAAAATAAACTAATAGCAAAAGGACTGCGTGTGGCTCAAGTGGAAGAGTGCCTGCCTAGCAAGCATGAGGCCCTGAATTCAATCTCTAATATTGCACCCACAAAATTATTTCTAGATTGAAGTATCAGTGTTTGTAAAACAAAATACCTAATAAAACAAGCACAGCCACATACAGACAACTAGGTCATAAGCAGATGATTATAGTTTTGACTGGTTTCTATACACACCTTGAAACAAAAAAGCAAGAACACTGGTTGGGGGGTAGCTCAATGGTTGAACACTTGTCTAGCACACACAAGACCCTGGGTTCAATCCTCAGCTCCACCAAAAAACAAAAACCAAAACAACAACAACAAAGGTTTCATAAATATGACGATTTCAGTACAAATTCTTCCAAATTCACTGGTGAGTCTAGAACAAAGTTAAATCTCTACCTAACACATAATGTTCTATGAAAGACAAAAACCTTCACATTAGGGGAATTTTGTTTTCAACCATATACAACAGTCTTTGTCAAAAATCTTAGTTACTATATGACCTACAACATCTACTATGGGCTAAAGCCAAAGGCACAGCTGACTGGGCTGCTCTTGGCTAAATGGCTATAAAGTTTCTCAGCAACATACATTTATCTGTTCATTTAAATAATACGCAGTTATTGATTTTTGAATGACTAAAGAATGAATGAATGACAGGGTCTTGCTGGGTAGGCCAGGCTGCCCTGAAACTTGTGATCCTCTTGCTTCAGTCTTCTGAGTGCTGGGATTAGAGGAGTGTACCACAACATCCAGTTCTCAGCAGCATTAAAGCACCTCACATGAAAACTAACTTAACCTGTTCCTAGGTTTTCTCTCTCTACTTCCTTGGCAACCCAGTTCAAATTCTATCATGCTCATGCCCATCCTCTCTTCCTCCACACTTCGTATGTGCATCCCTCAGTGCATATCAACCTACACGACTATTCTTGCCCATTTGCCAGGCCCTAGCACCTTAGCTGTTATAATACTGGTAATGTTGAAGAAAGAAAAAAAAAAAGTCAACAGTATGTTACAGCTAGAAGATTTCTACGACTTACTACGTTAGTATTTTGTTTAAAAATAATCTTCACAGACAGGGCATATGGCTCAGTGGTGCAGTGCCTGGCTGACATACACAGGCCCTGAGTTCCATGGCTAGCACCGTAAAATAAAAACAATAACTAAACAATTTCATACCCGATGTCGATTTCTAGAAAGCTTTAAGTATTAACTAGTGATAAATCAAATCAATACAACAGATACTACCATTTGCTTAGCTTAACTCTAAATAATATTTTTCTATTCAGTTGCATTACGTATACAAACTATTTAAAATAATTTTCACAACAAAATACTTAAATAAACCACATACTTGATGATATTTCTTCAGTGTATTAAAATCAACAATCCAATTATTTATTTCCTTTTTCTTTATCTATCTTCCCAAACACACCCAGAGCAATTTCGTACTGCATTCCTTGCCAACATCCTGCACTGTAGATGGGCCACACACCAGTTTTTCCATGTACATTTTTATCACCACTAGCCAGGGCCAAACTGTCTTTTAAGGTTCACATTTAACTCATAGTTATTGTTATTATGCTGCTGATAATTCTACATTTAGGTAATTTATTTTTTGTTCATTTAAATGTAAACCGTTCATCAAGACAGGTCACTTCAAAAATCAATTCCTATTTTCTGTAAATACTAGCTGTCCCAACCCATTGTCTCTTAAAAACTTAAGGTAAACATACTCTCAAAGTCAGGTCTATAAATACAACATTCATACCACTGCTTATCTGCTATAGATATAGAATTCAGAAACCACCAATCATTACTGTCCAGTTCAATGGGACACCACCATTTTGACACTCAATTCATTAACAGTACATTTTAAATCATACTTCTCTAACCTATGAATGAAAATTTTATCTGAAATGGAATTTAAGAAGAAATGCTTGATAGAGTTTTGAATGCATAATCTACTGCTTCTCTTTAGGCCCATTAAATTATCAAAGAAATGCATTAACCTGTATTTCTCAAATTGTTACCTTTCACACCACTGTAGTTTGAAGATTTATACATATACACACACACACATAAGTTTGTCTAGCTTGAGTTCCTGACATAAAGCAAACATCCAAGAAGGAATTTAAGAGTCCATCTTATATGCTGACTGTACAGTTGACTGGGAAGAAGGGAGGTCTGTGCTTGATTACTGATGGCTTGTTAACAGTTAAATAACTGAAGACAGAGGTGAAGGGAAAAAACGAATAGTAGGGATGAACAGAAGCAACTAGAAGAACTGATGATTTGATGGGTAGAATAGATGCTATTGAAGGAGAGCTACAGTAGTAAAAATGAGTCTAAATCATATGAAGAGGAAGAAAACACACACTTACTTCTGCAAAGTTCAAATGAGGAAAAAATAGTTCAAGTGAGGACATGCTAAGCTGTCCCTACTGAAAACTGAGAAAGGGTCATGAAGTGGCAAAAATGGGCTTAAGAAACTTGCTCATTTAATATTCATCCTAAGATAGCTCAGGCATAAAGGCAAGACATTTACTAGACTCCTGCACAGACATCAGTGACATCACCATCTCTGCATCTTGTTTTCTTAAACACGGAAAAGAAAACATTTGCAAACACTTACTTATATGGTTTCTGAGGCAAGATACTGATCCGAGTCTTATCGAGTATCTTTTTTAGCTTGTTCCTTCCTCCAACAGTGTTGGCTTTACTTTTTTTATTGACTTTTTCCAGTCCTATCACCTGTTCTACATCTACAGCAAGATCTGGGATGGAGTACCGACTGGCTTCTTGATGTCTCCAATTTTAGGAAGGTGAGGGGCACCATTTCGTTTCTCTTCTGACAATCTTGTTAGTAGTTCTTTAAATACTAAAATAAAGAAGCACCACAAAATGCCAGTTACAAGAAATCTGAACAATCCCGATGCAACTGTGGGACGTGGAAGTATCTCAGATGTACAGACTTCAACTATCAAAATTAAAATCCTACAGAAAACCTAGTCCAATGACTGACACCAAATACCTACTCTGTATGCGGTTTTATCAAGATAAGCTTTATTAGTGTTTATCAACAGATGATAGGTTTCATTTACAATGAAGTAATTTTATGATCCTCAAGTCAGTAGATTCTGATTTAAATCTACTTACAGACTCATATAATTCTGTATTTATGCATTTATTACAAATATTCTGACCTTCATTTTTGAAATACTACTTATAGCTGTGACCTTTTACATGATTAAGATCTAAGTAGAAAAAAAAAAAGCAAAAAACAAAAAACCCAAAACAAGCCTGGTGTTATGTTGCAAGCCTGCAATCCCAGCTAGGGAGGAGGATCAGGGTCTGATATCAGCCCTGGGCAAAAGCACTGAGACACTATCTGAAAAATAACTAAAGCAAAAAAAGGGCTCAAGTGGTAGAGTACCTGTCTAGCAAGTGCAAGGCCCAGAGTTGAAACCCCAGTACCGCCAAAACAAACAAAAGGAGAAAAGTGAAAGTATGCACACACCACACACAAAAAAAATGCTTACCAAATAAATTCGTTTTCACAGTGATTGACAGATGTGTGTTATTTCTGAGAATTTCCATGGCTTTTGACAGCTGGATATTTTCAAAGTTTTGACCATTTACTTCTAATATCTAAAAGTGAAAATTAATGTCAGTGTCACCATTGACTGAAGAAAAATAGATATGAAATCCATCTTTACATCTGGACTTGGAAATGTTATACCTGATCCCCACGTTTCAAGCCTGCTTCGGTTGCTTTGCTACCCGAATCAACGCTGTCAACAAATATTCCAAATCCCTTTTCCGAGCCTCCAAGTAAGATAAAAGGCAGAGGAGCTTCTCGGGACGGTTTTGTTAGCGTCATCAATCTTCTTTTTGCTTTAGCTGCACATGCGATATTTAACAGCCTTAGATGTCCACCCATTTTCTACAAGAGTCCAGGAAGAGCCATGTTAATTTAAAGATAAGCAGAATAAAATGAACCTAAAGCTGATTTTAAAAATCATCACAACTCTTACCTCTCTTTCCAGATTATTTTCAAATTCTTCTAGAAATCGAGTCATTGCAGAATCTCCTTCAAAGTCATTGAAGTGATTATTCACCCACAGTAATACTACCCGTGTAACCTGTGACAACAGTTAGTTTCAGAAAGTTTTCTTCTTTTCAGTGTTGAAGATTCATGTTTAAAATCATTTCAAAAACGATTCCTAATCTTTCAACAATTTACCTACAACTACTGAACAAGAAAATTAACAATAAAACTTTAAGCAAGGATTATATTCATATAAAAATAATGTTCTGAAAATACATATGCATACTTTAAATACAGATTTCATGCTGCCTTGCCCAGTGGGACTTGGAATCTGTGAAGCTATTTTAACTTACATCTTGCTTTACTTTCAAAACATACTTGAAAGAAGTAAAAATAAAAACAAAGGTATAGTAAAACCAAAACAGGTTAATACAAAACTAGACAGAAAATAAAAATTAAAGGAAAAGGACAGCAGATAAGGAAAAGGAAGTATATTAAGCTAGAAAGATCTGTAGGGGCAAGAATACTAATAGGAAGTAGGTACGATTACTAAGGGAAGTTTATCAACCAACCTGTCCTTCACAGAGCTCGCAGACCTGCTGGCCAGGATCTGCTTAGAATTATATTACTGAGCCTGCAAGCCAGTGATGAGACAACAAAATGCTGCTCTAATGATAATTCAAAAATTATAACTTTCATCTGGCAGACTGACTGTCTGCCAAGCTAGAAATTACAGATTCCCATGGTTATCCAGATAAATGTTTGGTTATATTTTAATATATTCCCAATGGAAGTAAAGTTTGAACATATGGTGGCCTTTAGAACTAAAGAAAAAAGACATTTCTATAATAACTAATATTTGTGTTATCTTTTCTTCATTTTAGCTTACAAAGAATGTCAGGTGTTCCCTTAATCTGAACATGACTGATGTGAAAAACTGTATCTTTCTATTTATATTTTAGTATCTCATATTTAAGAACCAAAATACAATAATGTATATCCAACCTTATCCCTGAGGCTCGGGTCATTAAACCACTCCAATAACTTTTTGCCCACTTCCATTGGGCTAGAAAGAAAAGTACGATAGGTCAACAGGAAGTCTTCTATAAACGTTGGATCTACTACTGAATGCTCTTCCACCAAATGCATGGTGAGCCTTTCTGAGGTGCCCTGTAACAAGAAAAAGGTTAGGTCACTACCCTGAACAAACACTTACATGGTACCCAGATTTCAACCTTCGACATAAAATGAGCCAGGTAGTAACAGAGATACAGAGATAATAATTAATAAAGTACTAATCATCAGGAAATGTAAAGATTTTTTTTAATAACTGATGCTTAAAGATGAAAGAAGATAAAAATCCCAAACTGCCATAACTAATACTACCCAAAGTGGGGGAGCTGTCTGACCTTGATGACGATGTGACCCTTTCTCGTTCCAGTCCGATCAAGCTCTCTGTGCTCTTTCACCATAACGATCTCTCCTTCCTCTTCAACTTTTTGCATGTTCTTTTCTACTTGGTTGAGAATACGGCAGTAATCTTGCTGGGCGATGCAGACAAACTGGAATAAAACACAAGTCACATGTTAATGATAAAGTACTCGCAAAAGACCTAGCTGTACTAATAATTCAGTGTTTCAATTATTTAATACTGACATTTTTCCCTGTCTTCCCCATACTTTCTAAATTAATGCAGTAATGAACCTTAATCAGACTTCTCTACTTTTAATGTATTATTTCTTCCCTGGTCAAGAAAAGTTTTATTTTTTAGAATATTTATATGCATCTCACATTAAAAATTCTAGCAATTTAAGAAGTCAAGCCTGTTTTCATGCTTGGTTCACAGTTAACACTAATGTAGGGGAGGAAACTTAGAGAACACGCTTAGTTATTTGGATTAAAATTTTTTGGACCCATTAAAAGCAAAATTTAAAAATAAAGGTTTTGATAAGATGCACAAATTGGAGTAGATGTATGAAATCACATGGATGAGGAAGCATCAAGGAAACTAGCCTGTTTAAAGAAGGGCACCAATCCATTACTCCATATAACTCCAATTAAGGTAACCCTTGACCTTCAAGGACAAAATTAACAATAATATGCTTATCAAGCAATCACTCCTACACAGCTCCAACTAGAAAACATTTCAAAGCTTAGGCAGACTCCTTAAATTATTATGATTTATGAAATCATTTGGGAATGGAAAAAATGCATGGGATTTCTTTTTCTCCTTTAACATGAAAAAGATGAAAACAAGGTGGTGAAATTATAGTGAATTAAATAAAATGTGAAGCAAGAAACCAAACTCATATCTTCATAGGATAAATGAAGCTCTGGCTAATGCCCATGACATAGCATGGAATATTGTTAAAACATGCAGCACTAAATGCTGTAACGCAATCATAATGACAGCAGCAGCATCCCATCACATCACGGTAGCCTTACGGGAAGGGAACGTCCACAATCTATCCTCCTAATCTTATGGCAGGAGGAGGAAGCAGGCACCCTTGCCTCTGTACAGAGTGAACAGCCCTGCCTCATAATTACAGACATACACATCAAAGTCTTGGGGGAAAATAGAATAAAACATTAACGGTTATTTCTGAGCAATACAAATCACTGGCTTTAATTTACTTTTCTATGTTTTCTACACTTTCTGAAGTCACTGCTATAAGAGAACTAGAAATAGCAGTTCACAAGAGAAATGACATACTACAGGACCATGTTCCTCCCCAAGTAGGCTGGTTTCAGCTAGTTTTTCTACTAAGCATTTAGAAGCAGTTAAAAAGTCAAAAGATGGTTTTAGTGTATAAGGAAATATGAGTAGTTTCATTAAAATTTTAAAAATACCCCATTTATATAACATTGACCAAAGGTGTACATATGTTTTTATTTATCATTACTGATTTTTTTTTTGATAGTGTTGGGGTTTGAACTCAGGACCTTGCATTTGCTAGGCAGGCGCTCTACCTCTTAAGCCATGCCTCCAGCCCGTGTTTTTTAAAATATGTGGTCCTTAGTCTCTTTTCTCAAAAATATCTTTATTTTATTTCTTTGCATGGAGCAGCAAAATTTTTCTTTAAATTTGTATAGTAGATTTGGAAATGTTTTATCTCCAAATAATTTTAGGTGTTCTTTTTTATACTTACTTTTAGAGAACATAATTAAATCATCATTTTCCCATTTATCTTCTAAAAAATATATCAGCAAGTTAAAATGAATAAGTAGATAAATGAAAATGCTTTTTGAAGAGCATTTTCATTTATGTGCTAAAATTAATCTTCTTGACTCAAGATTTAAGGAAACTTGAATAAATCTGATTTGAAATTCTTAGTGTCTAGATAGACATTTTGGCATTTCTTATGTAGCAAACTAAAATACCATCCAAAAAGAAGAAAAAAAAAAAAAAAGTCAAACTGGCTAGGTGCCAATGGTTCACACCTGTAATCCTAGCTACTCAGGAGGGAGAGATCAAGAGGATTGAGGTTCAAAGCCAGCTCAGGCAAATAGCTCACAAGACCCTATCTAAAAAAAATACATCACAAAAAAGGGCTGGTGGAGTGGCTCAAGGTGCAGTCCCTGAGTTCAAACTCCAGTACTGAAAAAATAAAATAAAATAAAAAAAGGCAAACAATTTCTAATATAGCCATATAGAACTAGTATCTAAAAAGAATAAATTTTAGATGAAAATTTTTTATTAGTGATTTATTTTTGCTTTAAGAAAAATTTAATTTTAACTGGTATGATGAAGTTAGAAGGTTGTGAGTTGTTTGAGGTTTTAGCCTTGCAGACAGCTGTAAACATGGGGCAGTGGGGAAGGTGTAAAGAGAGAGAAAGGGAGGAGGAGGGCAAAAGAGGAGGAAAGAAAAGAAAGAGGTATAAAACTGGAGTTGATAGATGAAATCATGGATGAGAAACCATTAAGCAAACTAGCCCGTTCAAAGGTCACCAAACAAGCCGCATTTACAGCCCATTACTCCATATAACTCGTATTAAAGTAACCCTTGACCTTAAACAACAAAATTAACAATAATATGAGTGGAAACGGAGTGGAAAGCTAAGGCTTCTGGTCCTTGTCAAACACCTGCAAACACCACCCCCACTCCCACATATGACTGACACACAGGAAGAAAGCCTGCTAAGAAGGCCTGATAGGGCCAGACCTTCCTCAACCTGGCCTGAATGCACACCTGTCAACTATGGCCTCCTGCATCTGATGACAAGTGAAGAGGAAGAAAAGAAGCTCCAGTCTAATCTGGGCTCCTTTGAGGAGAGTTGTCTTTTGCCCATTCCCATTGTATTTTTACACCTCCCCACCATGGGGTTTTTCTTAGGTGGTCATGGGTAATCACGTGTGCAGAATAATTCTTGAAATGTGTTGTAATTTTTTCACAACCATCCTGCCAATCACTCCTGTAGGCTGGTCTTGGAACTTGGTGATCCAAACCCCTTAAACTTCATGAAAGCCTGGGCCAGACTGCCATGTAGTGCTAGTTCATGACCTCTCTTTCATCAACTTGCACCTACGAAAGTGCCTTTCTGAAAAACTTTACTATTTTTAATAAACTATACTTTCACACAAACACACACACACACACACACACACACACAGACACTGAAGAAAAATAACTAGAAGAGAACACAAAGGAGGAATCCCAAAGCAACACAAGCTTGAACCTCTCATGGGACCTGAGCAAACAGAAATGTGCTTTCATGCTGCCTGATACTTCTGGAACCCACTGGAATGTTAACAAGGGCCAATCTAGGAAAAGTTCTTTTTCTTGGAAAAAGAACTGCCACTTTTGTTCATTATATTCAATAACTGTTGATTCCAGAACATGTGATCAGAAAAATGATAAACCATGGAAGCCAGTTCATGGTTTTGACTGTTTCCAAGAGGAAGAGCAAACATGTGTCCTCTAGCAGATGCAAGACAGTTGAACAGAAGTACCCTAAAATGCTTTCTCAAAAAAGCACTTCAATTGTGCAAGTTCATTCTCCATTCCTGCTGTGCTCTAACAGGATAAAATGTAGGGACTGAGAAGATGAGTTGGTAGAAGGAAGGAGCAATTTATGAAATCCCTGACTTAACACAGTCCTGTTAGAGTGGAGGGAAGACAGCTTTCTCTACCAGATGCCTTCCTTTTGGCCCTCTTTATACTTCGGGGAACTTTAAATGAGGAACTACAGGAACCTTTCTACTGTAATCAGTTTTGAAGCTAGAGGAATGACTCCAGTGGTAGAGCTCCTGCCTTGCAAGCTCAAAGTCCTGAGTTTAAATCCCAGTACCACCAAAAAAACCAGCTTTGTTTTGAACTGGAGTTTATCTTGCTATCACTCTGGGCTTCTCACTAACTCTTTATTCTGTAAATAGATCAGGCACTCTTCCCTAATATAACATCTGCCTTCTTTTCCTTGCCCAGAACGCCTAAATGAATATTTAATATTACCTGCTACACCTGACATGACTTGAGCACTCTGTAACACTCAGTCATGCAACATTTTTATTAATTATTCTGAAACATTTATAGGCCTCTTACATCACTTCAGTCCCACGGTTCCAAAATTTCTAACAGAAGTGGTTTGGCCAACTAAGGAGTGCTAATATAACTGCTGAATTCTCGTAAGTGAACTAACTTTCTTGGCTGCTAAGGAACAGAGACTCTAAATGTCCTGTAATCCCAACACGGAGAAGGAAGAGTTTGGGGGAAAAGTGGTAAAAGACAGCAGGATGGAGAAAAACCTCTAACACTTCTCTAGCTTGTTCTGACTCAGTTTGGTTTCATTATTTTAACTAAAATTCCAGAGACAAAATATAACATATATCCTCTACTAAATATATACTGTCATACCAAATAAAGGTTTGGGGATTTATCTATTTTGTTTCCTAAATAACTGAGTTGACTATTTTTACAATGATCTGGCATGACATATTTAAAATACTGAATTTATATTCTTTTTAATATGTATGATGTTCACTAGATGAATTATCTTGCAAAATTATTTTGATTCTATAGGAGGATTATGTTATTTGTAACCATGGCCATTTTTTCCTTTTCTTTTTTAAGGGAGAGCTTGGGACAGAGGTTTGAACTCAGAGCATCCTGAACCAGACCCCTAGCTCATTTTTTTTCTTTCAGTAAGTAAAATGCTGAAAGATTTAAATAAGCAATGCCATTCTACATTGATCTGACACTATAAAAATCCAATTATATTCCTTTATAATACATTATTGTTGAGATGCCACTCAGACTGCAGACTACCAAATAAAGTCAGCATTTAACATTAACTAGTCTAAGTCAAGTGTTTTGGCTCATTTATTCCTTCAAACATTTTATCCTTCATAAATTATAAACTCTTAACAATAACAAAGGAATCTTCAAGTTATTTCCCTCTAATAAAGAAGTTACTACTTAAATTAATATAAAGTTCACATTTGGTTATATATTTTCGCCAATCTGTTATTAAATGTTTTTACATAATGAGTATAAACATAATATCAACATAGTATTTCTCTTTTGCTATCAAATATTTTCTTTTTATTAGCAATATTTTTATTTGCAAGTCTTTCTACTGTTTATACTAATTTCCATGGCTCTTCTAAAATAATTTTTTGTGCATATTTAAATTAAAAACACTGCATAGCTATACCATACCATCCTTGTTAATCTACTGATTAATCTACTGATAGCTTCCTTTCATAATGTGAATTTGATTTCCATATTTTTAAAAGAGTACTAATTATTGATGGCTATTTTAAAATACCATATTTACAGGAAGTTTTAAAAAAACTAGAACCTAGTTTAAATAACTTTAAGGAAGATTTATTTTTAATTTCTAGAAGCATAAAACTAAAAGCGATAGCTCTACATTAAAAATCTTATGCCTAAATCTAAGATGAGACATTAACATAAGCTGAAAAACCTTACCCCAAATACACACATGTGGGTTTTTTTTTGTTTTTTGGTGGTACTGGGGCTTATACTCAGGGCCTCATACTTGCTAGGCAGACACTCATAACCTGAACCACTATGCCAACCATTTTTTGTGTTGGATATTTTTGAGATAGAGTCTGACTTTTTTTTTTGCCCAGGCTAGCCTGGAACCTCCATTCTGTTGATCTCTCCTCTCCTGTGTAGCTAGAATTATAGGCATGAGCCACTGGGGCCCGGCTCACACAACTGTTCTTTACTAAGAATGAAACATACATTACAGTGGTATTTTGTACCTGGCAGTCATCCACCTTTGTTCTCATCACTCCTTTCATATATTCTTTGTCCATGGTGGGAGAGACGCCAAAACTGTTTCCCATACATAAGATTTCTGCTTTTCCATCTGGGTAAGTCACTTCCACAGAACCGTTGAGAATCACTGACCAGGAGTCCAGCTAGTCAAAAATCAATCAGTCAATCAATCAATCAATCAATAAATAAATAAGACAAAGAAAATAATCTTGTGGGCACACACCTGTGAATGCAAGAATGAGTAATTCCTAACATAACTCAGCAGATCTTCCACATTAAAGGAGCCAGCAGCTCCAGTGATGTGTTTACCACAGCCGCCTATCTACGAATTTTCCTACACCTAGCACAGAGTAATATCATTCTTCCCTGTTAATCTGATTTGGATTTTCTTCTCTAAAATGACATGAGGAAAAAAATTTCCTCTGTACCCCAAAGCACATGTGAACAAGTGAGAATGATCACCCAAATCAGTAAGAGTATAATTTTGTTTTTATAAAAGACATTATAGTAAGCCATACAAGCACGGTTGAATAAATAAACAAAAGAAATTTTAAAACTAAAAGATCTAAATTCCTCCCACTCACATTCCACAGCTCAACAGCCACCCAAAATGCAAATGGTGCCCAAAAAGCAAGACAAAAGTTCGGCAATCCTACCAAGCCAAAAACAAAAGCACAAAATGTGCTTAATTGAAATGATCAAGTAAAAATTTTAGATATGTTGAAAGGCCGTGTGTCTTTAGCAGGAGTTGGGTAGCAGTATAAGAAAAATGAAGCAAGCATCCACAGTATTCTAGATAACGAGCATGAGATAGGCCTAGGTTTTGATGAGCAGTGTTAATGTGGACAACAGTTTAATTTTTCCACAGTAATGCAGCCAAGTCCATACGGTTTCAAGTTACAGCTGCTGAGACCTACTGTACACATAGAACAGGCAAATTTGAGTACTTTTAAATTACTGAATTCTGCACATCCTAAGTCATTTGTGGATTTGCCCTCAGCAGCAGTCTCCAAGGGTCTATTGTATACAATTGCCATCAGCAGAAACTGCAAAGTTAATACATCAAAAACTCTTGGTGCTAGGGACATAGCTCAGTGGTGGATGATTGCCTAGCATGCACAAATCCCTGTGTTCAGTCCCCAGCACTGAAAAAGAAGAAGAAGAAGAAAAAAAACAAACCCAAAAAACTATCAGTATTTATGAAATGCTGCATATAATGGGAAATAAACAATGACTCTGGAAATCTGTGACAGAAACAGTACGCCATGAATTTTCCCTTATTCAAACTTACTGAGGCTAGGGTTTTCAGAGGAAAAAAACAAAACTGTGGTTTTGTGTGGGTCTACCAAGAGATGCTCAAAGTGTAGCCTTCTAAGATGCAGAAGTCCTTACTGACCTCTTCCCCATCATTTAACACGATGGTCCCGGCCCTTTCCACCACCGCAAACACCATCACAGCACACAGCTCCCGTCTCACCGACATTGTCATATTGGCAAAGGCAGGCAGTTGGTGCATGAATTCCAAGAGTTGTTCTGAAAAGCAAAAGAGATTCCTTGTCAAAACTACAACATTTATTAAAAACAGATCTTCAGAAAGAATGTGTTACGGTTCTTTCTTTGTAAAAGTCATACAACACTGCCTACTGAAAAATACACTTTCAATATCTTTGGTGTCAGTTGAATGTCTTGCAGGTACACAAAGACTTTTGTCACTGTGGAAATGGTGACATTTCCTTGTTGACTTAGAAGTAACAGTTTATGCCATAACCCAATATCCTAATGACACTGAAGAAACTGCTAAACTTCAAATGGGGAATTTGAACTGAAAATAAGCTGTGATCTTTATAAGTAAGAATTCTTAACAGTGGAAATGAAATAGAGCTCTGAGAATTTTCCACAAAGCTGGTGATCTGTTCTAGTGCCTCTGGGGTAGGTGATGCCTAAAATAGTTAATAGAAATACTACCTTTAATTTAAAAACACTCCAGTGGAGGCCAGGCATGCTAGTGCATACCTATAATCCCAGCACTCAGGAGGTAGAGGTAGGAGGATCGAAAGTTTGAGACCAGCCGGGGCTACACAGTGAGACCTTGTCTCAAGAAAAAACAATTCCAAGGGATATTTTCTGAATAAGAAAAATCCATAAAAATAAATTAAAAATTTACATGATGTGATAAATACAAATGAGAACTGGTATACCATTCCTGATCCTACAGCAAAAAAGGGGAAAACTTTATCCCAGCACTCAGGAGGCTAATGCAGGAGGATGGCAAGTTAGAGGCCACCCTAGGCTATGAAGGGAGACAAAAAAAAAAAAAACATAAAAGAGGGGAGGAGGGAGTAATAAAGAGGGAGAAATGGCTGACCTCCCAGGCTTTTGTGGACCTTTATCTGGCTCCACCTAGGTTCTGTTGAAGGCTCTATGGGGGAAAGGCCTTCATTTTCATTTTGTGGGGAGACCGAGGCTCACACAGACATAACTAGGACCAGCACTGTCTGCCTGCGAAGCTATACTTCTTAGTTGTATTACTCCAACAAGCTGATTAATTCCCCAAAGGCATAGTGCTCTCATCTGTAAAACAATGGAGAATCTACTTCATTAGACAGCTGTGAAAGTCAAAGGAAGTAACAATAAAGAACTTCGCACAGGTCAACAGTAAGTGGTTCCACTTACTGTCACTATTATGGTCCTGACATCGATGACCTTTCTACTACCTAAAAATTCTACATTTTTCTTGCTACCACCTAATCAAACTGTCCCATCACACATTCCTTCTGTTAAGATTGAGTAGCAAGGCTGGATGCAGTGACTCATACCTAAGAATCCCAGCTACCCAGGAGGTGGAGACTGGTAGGATCATGGTTCAAGGGCAGCCCAGGCAAAAAGTTAGTGAGACCCTATCTCTAATAACAAGCCAGACATGGTGTTTCCTTCTTGTAATCCCAGCTATGCAGGAGGTATATGTAGTAAGATCACAGTCCAAGGCTACCTTGGGCAAAAAACAATATGAGACCCTATTTGAAAATAACTAACACAAAAGGACTAAGGGGGTGAGGCTCAAGAAGTTGTTGAGTTCGAGTTCAAACACGATACTGCCTCTCCAAGACTGAGGGACAAAGTTTATGTTATTGGATGTATTTTGCTAATTTCTAAAAAGAGAAAAAAAAGAAGGTTAACAGGAAGATACATTCATGAAAGCATTCTTCCAGAGGAACAAATTGAGTGCTTCCCTCTGTTCCAGCTGGGTGCCATCACAGTCCGTGTAGCCTGTACGTCATCCTTCTTTCCAGGACTGTTACTACACAGGGTGGCTCCAGTACTCACAGCAGTAAAGACATGTGGCACACAGGGGGTTCTGTTCAAACGGACAGTGTTCTTAACCTCACGCAGATTTACCTGGCAGGAAGCCCACTTACGATTGCAACCAGCATTTTTGAAAAAGAAGACAAAATATCAAAGCAGAGCCCTTATAGAAAGAGTAATTTCTGCTTAGGAAACTTCTGTTTTTTGAATGAGATGCATAGGTGTGTCTGTATTGTGCCATAATACACACTTATTCCTGGGCAGCAGTAAAGCAATTGTGAATATCAGTGAAGAGCTGACCCACATGAAAGGCAGGAATCCCTGTTGTGTAGAGTGTGCCAACCTTCTAATGTCCCCTGAGCAGCACAGCCCCAGTAGTCCTGTTTCCCACAGCCATCGTGCCTCATGCCACAGACCACTTCACCTCTTTCCTCCCCCACTGGTTGATAAGCTCGCCTGGGCATGCAAAGATTCATTAAGGAAGATGTGAGAGCATAAATTACTTGTCAGAAATGCTTTGAATTTAATGTGTTTAGATAATCATAGAAGTCAAGTACCACATATATGATCGAGATGAATGGGCAGGAAACATAAAACATCTTCACCAGTATTTGCTGAAATGACTTTGCTATGCCTTGCACAGACATAGGTTTTTGCTTTTTGACAGATTCCTATTCTATTAGTGCATCATGAAATCAATTTGTAATATATGAGCAGCGACTAGCATTAAAAAATACCACTGGATAGAAAATACCTGCATATGAACATGCATGAAGAATAAAAGAGACAGAAAAGATCTAATAATAGTAAGTGTGCATGGTTCACTGGGCTCTGCTGAAAAACTGTGATTACATAAATGCTTAACCAGACAGCATCTAGAGGTGTTTAAGATTCTCAAGGATTCCAATGTCTAGCTTGCTGGTTTTATGGTAACTTTAACATGACTATTTATTACAGAGGAGGATCGGGGAAATAAAAGAAATTAAACTAATATAGCAAATATAAAATAGAAGCATTTGGCTATGGGGCCTCAAAGCTGAACTCTAATCATGCCAGGGGAAGCATACAGCTAAAGGGTGAAGGGAGCTAAGAGTTCAGAGCTGGAGCGGCCTGTAGGATGTAGAGAAGGTAAGCCACGACGACTTTCATTTGTGGTTCTCTTTCTTTTTCATAGTCAGTACTGGGATTGAACCCCCCATGTCCTCTACCACTTGTGCCACACCATCTACATTTCTTAGGAGAATCTACTAGAATTACATAGTAATCTTTAAAAATATTTTTTCTAGTCAATAATGACAAAAAGAACAAATAAGTAACCAACTTAGATATACCAGAAACTGAAGCTTATCTTGGTTAGCTTGCTTCAGCTTTATATGAAAACTGATTAATGCCAGGATTTTAAATATCTATGGTGTTTTTTGCTGGTACATGAAGCAGGGAGAAAGAAATTATTTGAAAGAGAACAGAGTAGTTCAAGCCCTCAAAACAGAAAAAGTTACAACCATTCAAAACTGACTGACTACCTACAAAGTTAGGAGTTTTACAGCAAAAATAAATATGATAAACCTCTCTCTTTAGAGCACTGAAACATGGGTAGGTCCAAGAATCTCTGGGAACCCAAAGGGGAATTTTCTCCTGCAGTTGTTAAAAATATGATTGAATATTAGCAATTTCATCTGATTTGACTTGAACACTCACATGTGCAGAGGCTTCAAGTAAACTGGTATTCAAGTCTGGGATTCACCAGAGAGATTGTGGCTACAAGCACATTAGAACAAAAGCTAGCAAGCTAGCCTCTTGTTTATTTCTAAGAATAAGTGTAGTCCATGCTTTCTAGAGATTCTGGGAAAGAAGGCTTCTCAGACAGGAGGTAAAAGCCTTTAATTTCCAGGAACAGAAGATAGGCTGCACATACTTCATAATCAGCATTTTCTTCCACAACTATTCTAAAATGAACAGTTTCAAAAGGCAAAATATCTGTTTGTTTACAAGGGAAACTGCCAAATGAATCTGTTCAATAGCAAAATTCCATCTTAAAAAAATTCCTATAAGCATGGATTCTGGATTAAGATGTTAAATTCAATACTTTCAATTTCATTCTTTCTTTAAAACTACACTACAGCGTTTTATTTATTTTTTTGGCCAAGGACAAGGAACAGGAGACCAAAAGTCAATTTTGGACACTGACACTCAGATGAACACATTAGTGTTAGACACAAGGAAGCCAAACCCCAAGTCTCCAGGGGGTAAAACTGAGAGTCATTCTGCCCCTGCCTCCACCAGCCCAGCTCTGCTCACTCCCTTCTCATCACAGCACTCACTCTGCCTGCTTGCTCACTTGCTTATCACAATCTCCCCAAAAGACCATCACAGAGCAGGACCTTGCCTGCCTTGTTCACCACTGAGTAGCCAGGAACCAGAGAAATGCTAAGTACACAGAAGGTGCTTCACAATATTAGCAGAATGAATGAATGAATGAATGATTATCACCATTTAATATTCATCTGTAAATAGTAAGTCTCATAAATGACTTAAATTATACACAATCTAATCCAAGCATTTGGTTTTCTACCTTTTATTTCCTAGCATATGTCAGTTTTCCTACAAACATGTCTGTCTAACTCAAGGATATGTGACAAGCCACTCACACCTTCCTATGTCTAATCCCACAGACTCAACTCACCAAATTTCTCTTCAAACTGGGGGGGTGGTACTGGGAGACCATTCACAAGAGAAGCTACTCTTCATCCTAGTATAAGCCATTACCACGCAATCAACTTCTGCTCCTCTGGAAAGGTAGACATAAAGTCCCTTAACTACTTAAACTTTAGGGTCCATGCACATAAAGTCTCTAACAGCCTGGTGGGTGGTCACACCTGTAATCCCAGAATTTGGTAGTCTAAAGCAGGAGTATCAAGTTCGACACCGAGTGGGTTACATCGTGAGAGCCTGAAAACAAGTACAGAGGCTGCATATTTCCTTCTTACACTGCTCTCATCTGCATATGGAACCAGATTACCAGCAAATTCTTTACATGACAACTCTCCCATTCACTACTTGACTAACATTTACATACAGAAAACATGAACTCAATAGAATTAGTGCTTCTAAGAAAATTAACAGAAATAATACTGCCTGAAGACTAGTTCCAACTTTTTTTAGGAGGGGGCAAAAATGAAGCTAAAACAGAAGCTGTGTGGAAGAGTTTTACCAGGAAGTGTCACCCACCCTGTTATTTGCTGTCTCTTAAAGGTACCGACTGAGTACAACTGACTTGTTCCAACTTTTTTGAAAGAAATATTACTGTTTGTACAAAGAAAGAGCTTTCTACACTACCACTTACACTAAGGAAATTCATAAACATGGGGCTTCTTAAAAGTCTACTGGGTTCTACTGTATCACACAATTTTAACTCTCAACAGTTCACCTTCTCCAAGATTCCTTTCCTTGTGCATACTTACCAATATCATCATCAGTCCTGTCAATGGGGTCCTTCTCCAGACAGTCCCTCACAATGTCCCTGCTCATCAGAGGGTCCGACGCCCTCTCAATGTCCTCCTCATCGTCATCGTCCTCAGAATCTACTGCCGTTTCTGGCAGCCCACTCAGGTCCATGTCACCAGCCTCACTCTCTGTAGCCTTAAAACAAACAAAAATTAAGACCTATTTTATAAAGTGAATCAATTTTTGGAGCCCCAAAAGGGTAAGAACGGTGGTACTTCAAAGTAATTTTATGTAACTAAGTTAGGTGGGTACAGCATCCAACAACTAACTAATCAAGCAAAGCAGACACCACATAAAGGAATTATTTCAACAACATGTGAGTGACTCTATCCCTTATTACAATTTTGGTCAGGATTAATGATTTTGATCTCAGTAATTTGGTGTCTTCTATAAGCCATCACATGGCATCTGAAACACAGTAGAATAAAAAAGAAAGATGCATTTGTTTTCACTCCTTTTTCCAGAGAGAATGATTAAGGGTAACAATTTGTTAAGTCTGAGCAACTTCTCCAGAAGAACTGGTGTGAATTCATTAGTGCCAAGAAGACTGAACCACTTTCTCCTGTTAGTCTTCATGGAAAAACAAATCATCAACCCCATGCAGCTTGATAAACATACAAAGCAAACATTAAAATGAGTTGATTTATTCCAGTGGCCACTCTTGAACAGTAGAGGAAACCTTCTCATCTACCACACAGCTGACCATATTACCAATTGTATTTGTTATAAAGTTATAACAAATTGTTATAACAATAACAAATTGTTATAAAGTTATAAAGACATTTACACTAATATTTAAATATTTTCTTGGCTACCAGAGTCACCTATTTCAAGATGGTCTCTTCGGCTGGGTGATCTGAAGCCTAGAACTGTCATTCTTATTAGGCAAATCTGTAGCCTTTTGTGATGATCACCTTAATACATGCATCATATTGGTGTTATTCAACATTATATACATGGCCTTCATTAACTGCTAGCTAATGTATAGTGAGAAAGAATTTAAGAAAATGTTAACTATATCAATTTTTTTGTGTTTGGTAATTCTGGGGTTTGAACTCAAGAGCCTCATATTTGCTAGAGGCAAACACTCTATCACTTGAGCCATGCCTCTAGCCCCATAGCATTTATCAGTCTTGAACACCACAGATAGGCTTTTCCAGTTGAAATATTAAACTCAAAGAGGTTGGGCAAGATGGTGGATTAGAAGCATCCACCATATGACTCTGAGTAAGAAGCGTCAGATAATCCATATTCTAAAGAGAGAAAGCAAATCAGGAATCATAAAGGAAGCATCAGGATGGCAGAAAACCTTGGAGAAATGGAGACAACGGAAAGTCAACAGACTGTTCCGAGGCCATTCTAGACTTCCCAGGAGGGGAAAGGGAAAATGAAGATGCCATTGCAAGGTAAAATGCACAGCCCTGGTGACAGGCTGGCAATTCGAGCTGCAAGATAAGCCCACAGGCCTTACACTCAGTGCAAGAATGTGTGAAACACTGAATGTCCAGTGTGGAAGGCTAGCATTGGTAAAGAAAGACATTCTGCTGCTCCCTTGATTTTTAGGTTTAATAGCAAGGTGCCATTTTCAGAGAGGGCCTGTTATTTTGAGACTGGGACAATCTGGGGGCCTGAAAACAAGGAGCACTCAAAGGTCAGGGAGTCTTGGAGTACCTTGCACTGAGTCTGAGTGGAAGATGGCCACAAGAGGTGATTGAGGAGAGAAAGAGGTTTGATGTGGCTGGGGAGAGTGCGGACAAATGCTGAGGTGAGGCCTCAACCTCCCAGGCAAAAAGTCAGTTCTGTCGCCTGAGGCTAGGGCTAAGCCTCTGAATGGCTTAATATTTGGCCTGCAGGGACTGCCTACTGGCTTACTGTGTTGACTGCTAGATGCATCAGACCTTCTGAATCTTGTGGGTCCCCCCATTCCCAGGGAAGTGAACTGTCAGGAAGGACTTGAAAAACCTGAGACTTGAGAAGCACAAGATGGCAGCTACAGGGAGGAAACAGAAAGCGAGCCTCCTATAGTGAAATCTTGGAGAGACGCTGGAGACACACTTTGCAGGCATAATCACTGAGAAGAGGCATAACTTTGACCCCTCCACACCTCCAGCCTGCACAGAGAATCTCCACTTCATGTTAAACAGAGAAACCACGAGGGCCCCAGGGCCGCCAGTCGCCCACGCCCAGACGGCTTGGGAAGACATGGACCAGGTGACCTTCACAGTACCACAGTACTCCCATAGACAAGCCTGGGCCAGAGCAGCATAGCCCCCTGGACAGACTGACCTCCACCCAGGGAAAAAAGAGAAACTGAGTAATAAGCAATAAGAACAATAAAGACACATGGGAAAGAGGTTGGGGCACACTAAGCACCGAAGATTGGGGGAAGGGAATCCTTCCCGGGACTGTAAATAAACAAGACGGGCAGGCCTGAGAGGCTCTGGCAGGAGCGGGTGCGTGCGCCCAGCAACCAGGAGTGGGAAAGCCTGTGAGAGTGGTGGAGGGAGGAAAACTCCACAGGAAATGGGGGGAAGACCCACCTCCCACATGAACTGTAAATAAACATGCAGACCTGACAATGCGGGTGCAGTGTCACCTTTCCCAGTGCTTGGAAAGGGGAAAGCTTGTAGCAGAGGCTCCGGCACAGGAGAACTCTGAGCAAACAAAGCCTGCGGGGCCAGGTGAGTGCTAAGCTCACCCCAGAGATCTGCATAAATAACGCCACCAGCAACAGCAGGCTGACAGCAGCGGGCAGGCAAGCCACAGCTGCAGATACCATTCTCAGAACTGTCTCCAGACTCTTTTTTTTCTTTTTCTCCCTAACCCTTGATGAGAGAACAACCGAATTACACCTGCATGCTGAAAAACTTCTGAAACTGTATTGCATTTGAACTTGGGACACTTGGTGGGTTTTTGTGTGTGTGTGTGTAATTTTGTTCTACTTTATGCATCCCCTTTGATGAGACAACTACAGAACAACATCTGAGGCACCATCTCCAGGATTGGAGACTGAGACAGACACCCAAATTAGTAAGACTGAAACTTCATTGCATTTGAACTTCGAGGTTCTTTGGGTTTTTTTCTTTTTAATTTTCTATTTTTCATCTTATTTTACTTCATTTTTATATATAGATATTTCTTTCATTTAATTATTTTTTATTTTTATTCTTATCTTTACTTTATTTTTGATTTTCAATCCTCTCTCTAATGTCTGTTCAGCTTACTGTCAATTAGTACACTAATGCTCCCTGTTTATAACTTTGAAACTTTCTTGTCTGATACCTTATTCTGTTTTCTCCTTCTTGTCTGTGTATTTGTTTTCCCCCTTTCTTTAACTTCTTGCTTTCCATCTCAGCTCACCCTTCCATTCTAAATATTACCATTGTTATTATTACAAGCTAGAAAATACTTAATTGCACACAGTACAGGGACAGTAACAACACCAAAGACAATGACGGAAAGACAGAAAAAACAGGGAAACCAGTTTCCCCACAGCAAAAAATTAGTACAGGAACCAGAGGGGAATGAAGAAAACAGATACTCAGATCCAGACTCCAACAAAATGAAGATAAACTATGCCAAAGGACCCAATGAAGCCAACAAGAATAATTTAAAAGAAGACACTACAGGTACTCAATGAGAATTTTATAGAGATGATACTGGATAGGGTCAACCAAAATGTACAGGAGACACTCAAGAAATTACAAGACAACAAAAATAGAGAATTTGAAAAAGCAAAAGAAGAAATAAAGGAAACCACAGAAGCACTGTATAAACACCAAAGTGAAACAGAGAACACGATGAATAAACAGATAAATGAACTCAGGACAAAAATAGACAACATTAAAGAGGAAACCACCCAGGATATGGAAAATATCAGAAAAAAGAACGAAACAGAACTGCAAAACAAAACGGAAGGCCAATCCAGCAGAATAGAACAAACAGAAGACAGAATCTCAGAACTTGAAAATGAAAACACAACCTACCAGAACCTATGGGACACAGCTAAGGCAGTCCTGAGAGGAAAGTTTATAGCCATGAGTGCATATATTAAAAAGACTGAAAGATCCCAAATCAATGACCTAATGATACATCTCAAACTCCTAGAAAAACAAGAACAAGCAAATCCCAAAACAAATAGGAGAGAAATAATAAAAATAAGAGCTAAAATCAACGAAATAGAAACCAAAAAAAACCATACAAAGAATTAATGAAACAAAAAGTTGGTTCTTTGAAAAAATAAACAAGATCGATAGACCCCTGGCAAACCTGACTAAAATGAGGAGAGAAAACACCCAAATTAGTAGAATCAGGAATGCAAAAGGGGAGATAACAACAAACACCATGGAAGTCCAGGAAATCATCAGAGACTACTTTGAGAACCTAAATTCAAATAAATTTGAAAATCTTAAAGAAATGGACAGATTTCTAGATACATATGATCATCCAAAACTGAACCAAGAGGAAATTAATCACCTGAATAGATCTATAACACAAAATGAAATTGAAGCAGCAATCAAGAGTCTCCCTTGCTGAATTCTATCAGACCTTTAAAGAAGAACTGATATCAACCCTCCTTAAACTGTTCCATGAAATAGAAAGGGAAGGAAAACTGCCAAACACATTTTATGAAGCCAGTATTACACTTATCCCAAAACCAGGCAAAGACACCTCCAAAAAGGAGAACTATAGGCCAATCTCCTTAATGAACATTGATGCAAAAATCCTCAACAAAATAATGGCAAACCAAATTCAACAACACATCAAAAAGGTTATTCACCACGAACAAGTAGGTTTCATCCCAGGGATGCAGGGGTGTTTCAACATACGAAAATCCATAAACGTAATGAACCACATTAACAGAAGCAAAGACAAAAACCACTTGATCAACTCAATAGATGCAGAAAAAGCCTTTGATGAGATCCAAGCCATTTCATGATAAAAGCTCTAAGAAAACTAGGAACAGAAGGAAAGTACCTCAACATTATAAAAGCTATATATGACAAACCTACAGCCAGCATTATACTTAACGGAGAAAAACTGAAACCATTCCCTCTAAAATCAGGAACCAGACAAGGATGCCCACTATCTCCACTCCTATTCAACATAGTACTGGAATTCCTTGCCAGAGCAAT